GGAGATGGTTTGGGCTCAGAATTGCTCAGGGACACTGAAATTTTGGTGGTTGAGAGGCTTTTCCCCATTTCAGTGAGAAGAGTTCAGGGCAGTGGCTGGAGCTGTGAGTGCTTGGAAAGGCAAGAGCAGCACCCATGAATGCAGGTGTAGCCAGGGTTGGGATATATTCACACAAAGGGCTTCAAAAGAGACTCCTCAGGGCTGATGTGAGACTGCCAAAACACTGAGCTGCCACCTGTATGTATTTTTATCATGAAAAAATTGCAATTAATTTGACTGCTGTGCCAGTGCTGCATTGTTTGTGGGAGTAATTTCCAGGTAGTCTGGCTACCATAAAGCAGAGGATACACATAGATTACACCGAAAACAAATAAAAATTAAAATTAAAATCTCAGGGGTCCAATCTAATATTTACTATTTATTTCCTAGGGAAAAGTCAAGTGGTTCAGCATATAAGGCAATTCAGAATATGATTTTTTAACTTTTGTTTCCAGTTTCTTTCAGCCATTTACACTTCTTTGGTTAGTCATAATGAGTTAAGACAATCAAAAATGTCTTTTAATTTTTTTTAAAAAACTTTTTTTCTAGGGAAGACCTGCTGGGCTTATTTTTGCTGAGTATCTTTTTTGCAAGCAGCATTCTATTTGCATGAAAGCCTAGACTATCTTGTTAATAAAAAAGTCCCAGTTTTTCCTAAAGCTGTGACTTTTGCAATTGGTGTGATGACAAAGTGGGAATAATATCTCAGACTAAATCTGAATGCTTGTGCTCTCTAGTGACACAGCCAGGCATTTTTTCTTTCACTTGGACAAAACCCAGCCTTTTTCACATTATTTCTCCTCTCACTTTCACAGAATCACAGAACTAGAAGGACAAGGCACCAAGTAAAGTAAAAGTAAAGAGGCAGAGGAAGGGTGGGGAGGAAATGAGCATTTTGAGTCCTGAAAGTAGTTTCAGTTTAAGCAAGGGACCAATTATCAGGTTGTTGCTTTTAACCCTCTCTGCTGCTCTAAAACAGGGGGATGCCTCTGGCAGAGGGAACCATGAAAAGTGGGAGTGAAAGGGATTATCTGCACCGAAACCACCGTGTGTTGGTTTTCCCCCCACCTCAATCTCTCTATCTGTATTGGTCTCTTTCTCTCTTTCCTCCTTGCAGCACAGAATTTACAGTAAAAACACAGGAAGCTGAATGATTTCCTCTGAGGAAAGTACCTGAGGGAGAGGTGAAGGAGCAGAGTCATCATCAGGCCCTTTGAGCCATCCCTGCCCCTGCACTCAGGGGTGGTTTCAGGAGGTGCTGCCTTGGAACAAGATGCCTTGAAGGTGTTTTTTGCCAGGTCAGGCAGGCTGGCACAGGAGAATTGTTTTTTTCCCCTCTGGCAATCCCAGAGAAGGGAGTCCTGAATTTGTGAGTAACAGCAGCAGCTGGTGATTTGTGAATAACAGCAGATATTTATTTATTTATTGGTGACGCTGCACCCTGTGCACCAGAAACCTCTTAACCACAGTCACTCTGCCCACAGTGGTGTGGAGGCCCCTCTGTGCCTCCAGGGAGTGTGAGATGGCCCTGGGGAGGGACAAAGAAGGCACTTAGGGAGGGACAGACACATTTTTAGCTGCCATTCCAAAGGTGTCCCTGCCCAAGGAGCCAAGATGGGACAGCCAAACAGCAGTGCTAAGGAAGGAGACCTGTGCCCCCTTCCATTGCAAGACCCCTTGGAAAAGCTCAGCCCAGACTTCCGAAGTTTCAGAGGTCTTGAAAGGGGACTTTTGCCCTAAAAATACCCAAACCCTTATCCTCAGTGTCAGCTGAAAGGGCACAAGTGAGTAACCCTGCAGATACCATCTCAGAGAGACCGTGAGCTCCCCACACTTCACGAGTGACTAAAGCTGAAGTGGATTTTTCAGCTGAGTGGGCCTAAATGTAGGAGTGGAAGGGATACAGAGATGGGTACAGCACCAGCCTCTTTATTTTGCAATAACTTCTCCTGTCCAATAACTCCTGCCCCCTCCAGGAAACTTTCCTTTAGCTTGCAGAGCTGTTGAAATGCCTGTGTGTGGTGGCATTTTCCTGCTCCAGCCTCCACTCGGGATCTCACTGCCGCTGCAGAGTGCAACAGGCCTGATTCATTTTGCAGCAGGAACGTGATTGATGCAAGCCCGGATGGAGACTCATTCTCAGCCCTGTGGAAATTCCTCACCAAGGCTGCAAGTCAAGTGAAAACCTCACTGTACAATCATCAGGTTGTGTTTCTACTCCTAAACCTTTTGGGATGGAGCCAGGAACAGCTTGTGAGCAGGCGAGGCTGACCCAGAAAGTTCTTACATCATCTTTTATTCTGGTTTTGTCTTTTGCTTTTTTTTTTTTTTAATTTCTTTTTGCTGAGAATTGTCTTTCTCTCTCACCTACACCAACTCCATCGCCTTTAGATTGAAGGCCTGATTAAGATGTGTGTTTTTCCAGGGCCCTCCAAGAATAAAGATCATCCGTGCAGTTCTGGCTGAGCTTTGCTCGCAGTCTCCTGCTGACAAACCACACCTTGTTTATCAGGACTAACATTTGTTGTACACACAGAGCTGCTGGAGCTCTGAGGGCTGAGATTTCTGTACCTGCTGGGGAAATCACTGGGGAAAAGGTGGAGGAACAAAAGCTGGAGCAGAAAAGAAAATGCTCAGGCAGTGCTGAACAGGGACTCCAAAGCTGCTGGGGGGTTCACGTCTCCTTTATTTTCATTTTACATTATTTTTTCCCACTTCCCAGTAAATAAATTGTATCATTTTAACAATTCCCTGTGTTTGTAACACTCTGTGAAGAATTCCACTCTGCCTTGAGCACCTGATGGAGTGCAGAGAACCAGCAGCAACCAGCCAAGCACCACCTCAGCAATCCCAGCTCTATTCCTGGGCCATCTTGCCCTCATCCCTGGCAGGCAGAAATAAAAAGTGGCAAGGTACCTGTGAGGCTGATGCCACCTCCTTGCCATTTTCTGGGATCAAGCTGCTGCTTGTTGATGACACCTAAACATTTCTATTCTGCTTTCCTTTCTAATCAAATTCTGGTAGAGAACGTTCAGTGGGTCAAGCACAGAGTGCTGAGAAGAAGGAGAAGAAGAAGAAGACAAAGATGAAGAAGAAGATGAAAAGAACAAGGAGAAGGATAAAGGAGAAGGAGAAAAGGAAGAGAAAAAAAAAAAAAAAAAAAAAGGAAAAACAGTACTTCCCCTTCAGAGTGTAACAGGATTAACATGGCAGCTGCTGCAAGAAGGTTTTTCAAGGCTGCAGTTTTGGATTCAGGTCGTGAAGACTGATACCTAATGACTATCAGGGCAGCCACTGGATCTCTGTGTACTCAATTTCTTGTTTTTCATGCTCTCTGACCCTCAGTTATACTCAACTGCTTTTAAAGCAAACCAAGCCAAACTTGTAATTTTGATTGAAGGGACAACCTTGGGCAGGAAAGATGGGAAAATTGTGTTTTCTGTCACAAATCACTGGGCTGTTTATTCACTACTGCAGGCTCAGGTGAGATTCCCTGGCTTTGTGGTGCCGTTTAGCCCAGCAATGGGTGAGATCAGTTCCCTTGGCTGGAATTGCGTCAGGAGAGGAGGTGAGGCAGCTGCACCCAGAGGCAATGCAGCAGATGTGGGTGCTCCAGCTGAGCTGACACTAAGTTATTACTGTGGCAGAGGGAAGAATTTAAGGTATCTGTCATCTCCCACATCATCCTGGAATTCTCTAATCACTGCACACTCGTGCCTGGAGTCAGAAACCACATCACTTAGCAGTCCAAATCTCACAAAAAGCCAGGGGACTGAATCACTTTAAAGTGATTCCATCACTTTCAGCCATCAGCCTCACTCCCCCAAATTATGCATCCAGCTGACTTTTGCCCGCCTGGCTTGAAGCTTTCACCTCACCCAGACTACGGTATGAAATCCAAGCCTGAAGTCTTGCTCAGACTGTAGTTAAGGTTAGGACAGTGACACTGGAAAAGGAGTTTTCCCTCCACTTGTCTCAATAATACCTCATGGATGCAGTCCTCACCGCATAAACCCCTCTCATGCCCCCAGATATCCCCTTCAGTGCCTTTAGGACCTTAAATCTGACTGAGGAAATAATTTCGAAGCCCTTCCTCTCCTGCCCCCTTGAGGCTCCCAAACTGCTTCATCACGTTAAGGATGAACACCAGCACTGAGGCTTGGCAGGTTCATGGACAGATTTCAAATCTGAGCGTGTTATTAAACTCTTCTCACGAGTTACAAACAGGAAAGAGGGGAAAGCCAGTGAATTTCTCATCCAGGAGCCCGTGGTGGAGCTGCTGGTCCCAAATCAAGCTCGTGTCAGCTCTGAAGGGTGTTTTGGCAGATCTGACTCCAAGGATTTGCCAGCTTCCCTCTCACAGTCAGGATCACAGAGAATACCAAGCAGGGCATCTGTCAGTGAGTAATTACAGGAAATATCGGCTTCCTTTTGTGCAGCGTGTTTGAGTCTTGTCTGGGGCGAGGCACAAACCTGAGCCTGTCTCCAGGAGCTCTTTGGAGCTGCCAAGGTAAATTACACCAGAGGCAGAGCCAGGCAGCTCTGGGATGTTACCAGAAATGAGGAAATCATTCCATAAATGTCACTTCTTCTCCTGACTGTCTGCAGACAGACTGCCAGAGCTTTCCAGCGCCCAGAAACACGGATCCATGCCATTTCCTAATAGCTTGGAAAGCATCTGGAGAGCAGAGCATATTTCTGCATTACTGGATTTGTTCTCCTTTATGCTGCCTATCATTTACTGTCATAAACACCTAGGAAGGAAGGATGATTAATTACAGAGAATTAACTTAATGTAGTGCTGCCAGTGCCCTGGAGGGTCAAAGGAAATTTATGTTCCCCATGCAACACAAACAATGTTCAGGAGTGTAACTTCAGTCAGGAGGGAGGCAAGAAAAATTTACAAAACGTTTGCAAAACGTTTGCAAAATGCAACCTTGAAGTAGGGCAGAGAGACTGGATTAAAACAAGAGATCTTTTATTGTCTTGAACTGCAGAGTGTGATACAGAGGAACTACATGGATTTTCATTCATAGAAAAAAAAAAAGAGAGCCCTTTATTTACACAAGTGTTCAAACTGCCCATGGTACCTAACAACAACTCTGGGTTCTCTTCGTTTTGCTTTGTTAGTTATTCCCACCTAGATGGAGCAAGCATTGGTCAGTAACACTTAGAAAAACATGGAAGAAGCTTTTGGGCAGGAAAAAAATTTATATTCTGAAAGAACCCAAATCTTCATGGGCATTTCACTGTAACAAACCCACCAAAATAATTACAACCAGTCACTGACAAAAGGAACAGTTTTCAATAGGGTCTCAGCAGCCTAATTCATCTGTCTGTCTTTATTTCCCCATCTAAGTAAATATATCCTGGACATGCACAAACTCCACATGAATGAAAAAAAAAAGGTAGAAATTTATTTAAAAGTAATTGTGCTTTTATTTATAAAAAAAAATTTACAATCAGTCACTGTCCTGCTGTGTTTCCAAAAGCATGGTTCTCTTAAAAATGACAAAATTTTGCTTATTATTATTATCATTATTATTATTATTACTTTGTCTTTATATTAATAATATTAATCTTATGCTTAACTTTAAAAACATACTGCTTTCCCTTCCCATTCCCTCCTTCTCTGTGGTACTTGATATATATATAAAAAGGCATTCAAACCACCAATTATTTTCACTTATAGCTAATAATAATAATAATAATAATAATAACAACAATTAATCTTACACATTTCTGTGTGTAAAATATGGCTGGTTCTAAAACAAACTACCAATGTACAAAGCTGTTCTCCCTCCCGTTCCCTGGGCCACCCAAGAGATCATCAGATGTCGGAAGAACTTTATCCCAGACGTTTTCGGGCAAAAAAATTTAAAAAAAAATTAAAAAAACAACACAGAACCCTTGAGATCGTTGTCTTTGGTGTGGAGGACGTTCCTGGTGGGCAGCTGGAGCTGCTCTGCTGGAAGCTCTGGGATGCTTTAAGGCTTTTTTTTTTGTTGTTTGGAATGCTGCAAAGCCTCTGCCGGGCCACAGCTCACCGGTGCTTTGGTGCCAGTCCCAGCTCCTCACACCCCCAGGCCAGCGATGCCAGAGGGTCTCCCCACACCCCCCTCTCCATCCCCTCCCCAGCCCTGCCCGCAGCCCCTGGGGCTCTACGCTCGCTTCCGACGCCCCTCCAGGTTCCGGAAGCTGGAGGGTCTCAGCTTCATCTCTGCAAACTGGATGGAATACTCGTGGCCCTTCCAGTGGAACCAGTTGACGCCCTGTGAAGGCAAAGAGGAGAGGTTGGAGGTCAAACTTTCATTTGCTGCCCCTGGGTCAGACTGGGGGTGTTTCTGGTTTGGGCACAGAGGTACCACAAAGTGGAGGAGCTTTGGGAAGCACAGGAGCTCTGGAATGTCCAATCTGTACAAACCCACCCACCTGAGGTCACAGAATCATGGAAATACACAATGGATTGGGCTGGAAGGGACTTTTAAGATCATCTTATTCCAACCCTGCTGTGGGCAGGGACACCTCTCCCTGTCCAGCCTGGCCTTGGGCATTTCCAGGGATTCAGGGGCAGCCACAGCTGCTCTGGGCACCCTGTGCCAGGGCTTCACCACCTTCCCAGGGAAGAATTTCTTCCATTTATTTAATCCAAACTTATTTCTGTCAGCGTGAAGTCCTTCCCCCTTGACCTGGCACTCCAGGTGCCAGGTAAACCTTCTTTCACCATTTTTCCTGTACCTTCAGGCTTTGTAAGGCCACAATTTGGTCACCCCAAAGCTCTTCCTCTCCAGGTGAACAATCCCAGCTGTGCCAGCCTTCCCTCCCAGCAGAGCTGCTCCATCCCTGTGATCCCCCTGGCCCTGCTCTGGATCTCTGCAGCAGCTCCAGCTCCTCCCTGTGCTGGGCAGGGCTGGGGCAGCTCTGCAGGTGGGGTCTGAGCTGAGCACAGGGCACAGGGGCAGGATCCCCCTGCCCTGCTGCCCACGCTGGGCTCAGCCCAGGGCAGGGGGCTCAGGGCTGGGGCAGCTCCAGCTCTCACCCACAGCACCCCCAGCTCCCTCTCAGGGCTGCTCCAGCTGCTCCTCCCAGCCTGGATTGGTCCTGGAGGTTGCCCCAACCCAGGTGCAGCACCTTGAGCTTGTTTTTTTAAACCTCTTTCCCTCAGAGCTGTCCCTCTTTGCCTGGCTTTCATGGCAGGAAAAATATTTTTGTTTCACATGCTGAAAACTACAATTATTCCCTGCACACTTGGGGTATTCCCTTGGAAAATCAGACAAAGCCAAAAAGATTCCACCAGCTGATATTAAATTCTTGTTTTGTGACTGCCCTTACATTTCTCTATGTTCCTGGAGAGTGGAAGGAGGAGATGCTGTGATTTTTGACTCTCTGAACCGTCAGAAAACCCCACAATTGCAATTCCCCTTCCTCTCATGCATTAGAGAAGCCTTCAGAGCCAAACTCACCTGACTGTGGTTGTTGTCACCATATCTGCCCATCAGGTTGACTCGGTGACAGTTCTTGTACCAGAAGGCTCCTTTGTATGACAGAGCACAGTTGGTGATGGCAGAATCGTGGTCCTTGTCAAAGGTGGAGAAGGACCTTCCATTGTGGTAGGTCATGGAGTCACCTGGATGGGGGGACAAAAGAAAGAGTGAGGTCACTGACTTGACTGGTTTAGATTGCATGTGTGTGCCCATTCTGTACAAAATATTTGGACTGTGCCTGTCTGCATCTACATTTTTAAAAATTGTCTTGTTTTAATACAGAAGGAAATGCACAATTTTTGGTTTTCCAGACAGGTCAAAATATTTTTTCAGGTGGTCTCTAATCCCCAGTATATGAGGTGTTTTTTTTTCATGCAGCTCAATTTCTGTACTTCTTGCTAAAAGCTGGATTTTACAGTGTGGAGAAGCCAAGACCAAAGAGCTGTTCACAAGGAAGGAATCAAGACTAAAAGAATCTCCACACTGACTGAATCCTACTCAAGGTAGCAGCTACTACTACTCTGCACTAGACAATTTGCCTTAAATCACAGAATCATGGATTGGTTTGGGCTGGAAGGGACCTTAAAACTCATCTCATTCCACCCCTGCCATGGGCAGGGACACCTTCCACTATCCCAGAGTGTTCTCAGCCCTGTCCAGCCTGGCCTTGGACATTTCCAGGGAACCAGGGGCAGCGACAGCTTCTCTGGGCACCCTGTGCCAGGGCCTCCCCACCCTTACAGGGAAACATTTCTTCCCAATATCCCATCTAAATTAAATAGACATTAATTCTGCTGCTGTATTTCCTGTCTATCTCTGTAGTCTGTGTAAAAGCTGTTGTGCTGGTCACAGAGCCCACACCTCTTCTCTGGTTTATGTACCCAGCAGTATGAAATGATCTCCTTTTAAGACATATTGTTAAACTGGATTTATGTCTTAATCCTGTGAAGCCCTGAAGAGGACTCACCAAGGGCTGCAGGGTTTGCCCCAGTGTGATTGCAAAAGGCAGATGATTTGTTCAGCAAAATAATAAATCACATTACAGAAAGGCTTTGCTGCAAATTCTACTGACAAGAGAAGAAGCTGTGCCAGGTTATTATTGGCTGTATAAATGACAGCCAAATGAGATATACTGTGGTTTAATACACTTGTTTCAATGCTGCCATAAGCAGGCCATAAAATATGGCACAAAAATGCCTGGAGGATATAAAACAGAAACATAAATACGTTGATATGTTTAATTTTTGAACACCTCACTGTCCTGGGTTGTAAGATATGGTTTGGGGGTATGTATTTATCATCTGTCAGAGCTGGGGCAGTTATCCTCTGTTCATGGGGCACTTTTCTTCATCTCTCCCACAGCCAATCCTCCCTCCAGGATATCTCTGCTGTTCATGGGCTATTAACTATTAATTATCTTCTGTTCATGGCCACTGAGTGTCCCTGCATGGCTGAGAAAATTCCAGCATCCATGGGGAGAGGCTCTGCCCAGGGGAGGAGCCGAGCATTCCTACCTGGATACAATCTGACCTGGGAACAGCACAGCAGCCTTTGCCCCCTGCATTCCCAGAGGAGCAGCTTTCTTCCCACTGCATTCCCAGAGGAGCAGCTTTCTTCCCACTGCATTCCCAGAGGAGCAGCTTTCTTCCCCACTGCATTCCCAGAAGAGCCCAGGCCCATCTCCCCCAGCCCTGGAGCGCCAGAGGAAAACTCCCCCCTTGTGCAGGATCCTGCTCCAGCAGAAGCACAGCTGGCACTGCAGGAGGGCTGAGCCACCCTGGGATGGGGCTGCTGCCACCTCCCTGACCCACAGGGGCCAGGGCCTGCTCTGACTCTGGCAGTGGTTTGATGTTTTTTGTTTGTACTATTGCATTTATATCTTTAATTTTACTATTAAAGAACTGTTATTCCTATTCCCATATCTTTTCCTGAGAGCCCCTTAATTTCATAATTATAATAATTCAGGGAGGGGGTTTACATTTTCCATTTCAGGGGAGGCTCCTGCCTTCCTTAGCAGACACCTGTCTGTTCAAACCAAGACACTCATGGAGGAGAGACACCTGCTGATCTACAATATTCACACAGTTACCTTGAATCAGTGGGGAGGAAATGGGTCATTTGAAGGAGGGAAATTCAGATTTTGCCCACCTGCTGTGCCGCTGTAGCCATCCACGCGCAGGCGGTAGCGGCTCTTGGCGTCGCCCACGCTGAAGCGGTCGTACACAGCGTAGGCCGTGTCCCCCTTGTCCCTCAGGTCCACTCGCAGCTCGTACTGGCCCTGAGAAGTGATTTTGTGCAGGTTCTCCAGACCTGTGGGCAGGAAGGAATGTTTGTCTTGATGCCAAATGGTTTTTTGTCTTTTTCCTTTTCTGTATTTTTACACATGTATTTGGAGCTCTGTAGCCTATTGTTGCATTCCTACTTAGTTTTCCCAGTGCTTTTCCCTACCTTTTCCCTAGGCAGAAAGACAAAACACATTCCAAAGCCCACATCCCATCTTGGTTCTCCCTGGCAACCAAGGCCAAAAAAAAGCTCTTTGAAACCCATTTTCATCAACAAAGCTCAGTTCCATCTGAGGGGGGAAGATTTAGAGGAGGCTCAAACTGTGGGGAGATTGCATCACCACTTGTGCTCCTAATTGGTGATTTTGTCAATTATGGTAATTTGTTAAACTTCTAAAAACTGTGTTCACCCCATGGAGGAGGGGCTTTTATGGACATTTTCCATATTCACTTCTAGTGGACTCCAATAAAGATCAACCTTTACATTACTCCTATACTAATATTATCTCAAAAATGTGTTGTTTGATTTCCAGGCTCCTTAAGGCATCAGTCTATCCATGTTTTTTCCTCTGTCTGTGGTGGGTTAGGTGTTGGTCACTGAACCCAAAGCCATTCAGCTGCCCCTGGACATTGCTGAAAGAGAGAAGTGGCCAAATCTCTCCCTCCCATGCAAAACCAGTGCATTTGCCACACCATTATTCCATAAATGGGGCCATACTGGACTGTTCAGATACAGCAGGACACGAGCACTGGCGGGGACACTGAGCTGGATCAGCTCTAGGGTGATGTCAGCAGAAAAGCAAATAAATAGTCCTAGGCTGACTGGGAGAGATCTTCAATTCAAATCATAGAAACAGGTTGGGCAAAACCACCAAAGTTGTGCTGTGTGATCGTCATCCTCAACATCATCATCACCTTTCATTTACAGCCAGAAAAATGCAGCACAACCTTTGAAAATGTGGAAGGTTTATTTGTATTTTAGCAAAATGTGAGTTTATGACTTCTATTTGCCCTGCTTTTCCTCTCTGGATCATAAACCTTTGCTGCTGGGGGTGTCCCAGGAGGACAGGAAGCAGAACCTGCTTCCCAGGTCACCTCTGACTTCTCCCAGAGCCCCAGTGAGCATTGGGTGGGTTCATTTGACAGCCTTTGACTGCAGCAGGGACTGTCTGAGCCTGGCCCTTTCAGTCTCCCTCATGTAGGGTGTCCCTGGCTCCTTTTCTCCTGTTCCTCTTTGCAAATACTCCTTCCAGCCAAATGGAGGCCTCTCCATGGCTCCTGGACTTTTAGGCCGTGTTTCTGTTTTGTTTTGTTTTTTAAATACAATTCTTCAGCACTTACCTATCCAGAATTCCTCCTTAGGATCTCCAAATCCTGCCACATAAGTATTCCAGTTCTTGTAGAAATCTTGCTTCCCATTCTGACGCCTCAGGAACACCTAAAAGCAGGAAATATTATGGACAGACTGCCCTGGCCAGAAGGAAAGTGCTTTTACAAACACAGAGCTCAGCATTGCTCCTGCCCTGCCTCTACCCCTCCCAGCAGAGCCTCACTGCAAGGACTGAATTACACCCAGGCTGTTGGATGCTCCATGTAGTTTTTAAGTCTCCAGTTTCTCTGTAGGGATCCCAGGCTCCTCTGCATGATGTGGCCTCTCAGTTCCTGCTCTCTGCCCTTTTAAGCCCATCCTACAGTTCTGAATTTCTCAGCCAAGGGTTTTTCCACCCCTCATCTCCCAGCCAAGCATTCCTCCAGCACCTCCTGCCTTTCTGTGCCCTGGGTCCCTTTGGCATGTTTAAATTTGGGGATGTCAGTGTGAGGAGGTGGCATTTACTGCCATTCCTTTGTTGGCTAGGTGGGATGTGTCCCTTGCACAGTGGCCTTGGAAGCCACTGTACCCCGTGGCTGCTGAACAAATGCTTCCATTGGGCTGTGCTTTACCCTCCCTACTCCCTCTCTCATTCAAACAGAGTCAGTCTGTGGGAATCCAGGGTTTCCCTCTGGCTGCCCTGGCAGGTCTGGGACCCTGGCAGGGGTCAGGAACCCCCCTGGACAGAGCCCCCAGAGACACTGGCTGTGATCTCTGTCCATGGAAAAGAGTTTTCAATCTTACAGGATGAATTACCAGCTCTGAGTGTTTGATATGAGTAATAATTAAGTGTGGCACGAGTGCAAAAGTAAAATTTTAGGATTCTAGATTAGGGGTCCAAAGGGGACAAGATGGAGGAAATTGGGTGTGCCTTGTCCTTTTCCTCCTTCTTCATGCCCTCCATGTTTCACTGTGGTGTTGGCATTTTTCTGTTGGTTCAGGCTGGGGACACACTGTCCAACGTAGGTGACAGATATTGGCACGTTATTGTAAATCCAGCACAGGTAGTTTGTGGTATTTAATGTTTGTACCATCCCACTGAGGGCAGAGCCCCACACGCTGCCCTGCAGGACAGAGCTGCGGCAGGGCAGCAGAACATGTTAGAGATAAACAGAATAAACAACCCTGAAACCAGCACAGACGAATTATGGCTTCTTTGGCAGCGGGGCAGAAAGACAGAGACTTTCTACAATCTGGGAATCATCAACACCTCAGATTCCGACAAATTCACCCTCCCCTATCCCTGTTGATTATTTAGAAAATGTGTTATGCAATATGGTCATTTCAGCAGCCCTTACACCAGTGGAGAAGGATCAGGGCCAAAACCAGGGATGTGACCCATCATTTGGAGACACCTCTCTCTCCTCCAACTACACAAAGTAGCGTTCGGGGCACTGGAGTGTCCTACCCAGGATAAAACTCCCCAGATTTATAGACCAGACAGCCCCACTGTGCTGCTAACAGCCTGAGGGTGCCTGGGATGAGCAGGAAGGATGGGGGGTGCTGCCCCTGCCCCGTACTCACGATCCAGCCGCCGCCGTCCTCGCCCATGTCACAGAACACCTGCAGAGGCTGAGCCTTGTCCCCGTTCAGGTAAATCGTGTAGAGCCCAGAGGTGGCTTCTCCATTCAGCAGGGCCTGGGAGCAGTCCTTGGGGTAGGGATAGAGGAGCCCAGCTGCACATGCAGGGAAGGGAAAGCATTCCTTAGGAAATCAGCAGTTACAAGGAACGTGCCAAATGCAATCAATGGCTCGGGAAAATCCCTCGTGGGACAGCTACAGATCCCCGGAACAGGTTTGGAATTGCATCCTGTGTACAGAACATCTACAGGATACAGCTGGTCAGGTGAATTCCTCTTTTGAATGTGTTTTTTTACATCTGTCTACGCTTCTGGAAGTGCTGGGAATGTGAGATAACTACTCCCTCCTAGGATGAGAGTGCATCCTCCAGCTAAAGGCTGAATTCAGAAGCTGTGTTACAGGGGAAAAACAAATCTACCAATCTCTGATCATGTGACAGAAAAGGGAGGGGGGATACAAGGACAGGACTTCAATCAAAAATAAATTAATTGTGAGTGTTTTGCTAGCAAGGACAATATTAAATGTGTTATAAAGCTACACTCCTAAAAAATAAATCCAATAGCAATAGTTGAAATGGCAGGAAAATGTTAAGCTTTTCTTTCTTACAAGCCAATAAAATCATTGCAGTCAGAATAATTTCTAACCTCCCCAAAAGGTTTTATTTTTTTCTTTTTATTCACTCAGGTCATTAACTTTTTCAGCCAATTAAGTGTTGTTCCAGGCGTGTCCATAGGAGAGTTTTTATCTGCAGCTTCTCACAGAGCGGCTGCTGGTCCTTGCTAGTGTTACACATCCCTGCCTGTGCTTCAGCTCCAGAGAATTTCACAGAATCATGGCATTGTTAAGGTTGGAAAAGACCTTTAAAATCAAGTCCAATCATTAACACAGGCCCACCATCATGTTCACCACCATGTCCCCAAATGCCACCTCCACAGGTATTTTGAATATTTCCAGGGATGGGAACTCCAACACTGCTTATTCCAATTCTTGCAACTCTTTCCATGGAGAAATTTTTCCTGATATTGAATCTAAACCTCTCCTGGTATGATTTAAGGCCAAGCAAGTTTCCACCAGCTTTGGGATTTGGAGAAAAGTGACTCTATAGTCACTTTAGCGTTCTCCTGTCACTAAATAGACACAAATGTATTTTTAGAGTTAAGGCCAGGCTTAAGCCTCTGCCTTAATGAGTCTGACTGTTCACATGGGTGAAGGCACCTGGTCAGTTCCTGCTCATGGTCAATTTGCCAAACATCACCTAAATGCACCCAGGTTTAATTCCTCTGCTGTTTCTGGATGTGTGGGTGAGTTCATCCTGCTCTGCACGAGCAGTGCCAGGGCAGACTCGGGGCTGGGTGACTGCTGGCAGTCCTTGGGCTGGAGCTGGTGCCAGCAGCAGGAGGGGGGACGGCATGACTGAAGGTCCTGCTGGGCCTGAAAGGCTGAAAACTGGGAAAAGTGAGACAAATGACAGGCAAAGTGTCACAGCTAGTACAGAACAACTCCTTTTTTTAATGTCAGCTGTGAAATGACCTTCAGAGAAGCCAATTTATCCTTGCAGAGCTGTCCTGTTGGGCTGGAGCTGACGTGCAGAGGGGCTTTGTGACAGCCCATCTCAGAGAGAGGAGAAAAACCTGCTCAGAAATCCATCTCCTCATCCCCCAGCACTGATCTATGTATGCCTTTGTGGTTTGCTTCATTTCAGCTCCAAACTCTGATTTGTTTTCCCTGCTCGCTGGGATTGATACCGGGAGAAATCAAGGTGTCAGCTGGATTTTAAAGAATTCCTGCTGATATTTCACATGGGGAAGGCAGGATGTTTCACCAGAGAAAGGGCTGTGAGGGTGACGTGGATGGATATTGGAATTTCATCCTGCCAAAGGAGAACAGGTCTGGGGGAACAGGGACTTTGCACCAACACTAAAAACCAATTAATATCTTGTGTGGGGTCTGTATGTCCTCACAGCAGAACTCAGCAGAATTTAGATTATTTTAGCTGTGTTTTAATGTCCTTACTGGTGGTGAAAATGATCTGGATGGTTTTACTCCTCAGGGCCCCACTCAGGGCCTGCAGTTTCACCGTGTACTGTGTGGAGGGGCTCAGCTCTGTCAGGCTGTAGGAAGTTGTCTCGGGGTTTAGGATGACTTCCTATGGAGAAAAGAAATAATACAGGGAAATCTCAGGGAAATAAATCATAATGACCAGAATGGTTACATATTTTAGTCTGTCACATTATTTTTTGTCATAATTATTGATGGTATCTTCAACCATCTAGATTAATTAATACAAAGCTACTCCTCCAAGATTTTTACCAAGCTAATCTTTAAAAGTTCAAAAAGCCTGCCTGGAAATGAGTGTTTAACATCGTGATGTACAAGGTGGAAGGTTTGAAAGCAAGGCAGCATAAATGTTTACATGTCCTGAATGTACAGATTGTGAAATTCATAAAGAACTGGGAAACTCATCCTTTAGAACAAGGAAATGTCGCACTCCAGGCTTTAAAGGGCCGTTTTGCTGTGACATTGAAAGACTGATTTTCAGTGTGCTTGGGGAATTTGCCTTCCTGAAAATTAGAATCTTCTCCATTGATGCAGGCTGGGCACCCAAAATTTTATTTTTTTCTGGGGTTCACCTGATTCATATTTAAGCATTTAGTGTAATCTTATTATGTAGGAACAAAATAAAATTATAGAAGAATAAGAGGTACTTCCACAGGCAGTTCTTCCTTCCTTAGACACCCCTTTGCACAGGGATTCCCCTGAATTTAGAAAAGTGAATCACATCCTTTGGGGGTGTGAGTTTTCTCCATGATGCAGGTCTGGAATGAAGGAAAATGTTTGTGCTTTTATCTGTATTGTGGAGGGATGAAAGGCAAAATTCATTCTTCAATGGAGCTTCTGTTTCAGGGTATAATGTATGAAAGTCCTTTAACAGCTTTTAAATGCATTTGTGTTCAGTCTAGCACTGAAAAAGGCAGTGAGTTTTTTTAAATTTAGTGTTTAAATTAAGTCACATAATTATGTTGCATTTCTGAACACTTCAGAGCATCTCCACTGCCCAGATTTTAGGCACAGCCCTTCAGGTTTATTTACCTTGACTCTGCCATCAATGGATTCATAGATCAGGAGATATCCAGTGACTGGAGCTCGGGGAGGCCTCCAGCTTATCACAGCTGCTTCTGACTGCACCTCAGTGGCACTCAAATCCCTTGGAGCATCCAGCCCTGCAGGAGACACCACAGCAATTACAACCACATTCATACAAAGTTAATTCCACTGGTTATCTTGTGGGCCATATATTAAAACAAGCCAGGAAAACAAACCTTCTCTCCAGAGAAATTTGAAATGAAAAAACACTTCAACCTTAACTTTTGTGGTTAAGAATTAATTTACCCATTGGTAGTTTAAAACAAAGGTGTTAACTTTATCTCAGTTAAAATATTGGCTTATTCCAGGCACCTTATTTTATGAGCAGTTGCACTGAAATGTCTTTTGAGACAAATTTGTGCACTTCATTATTTCTCTGAAGAAGACAGATTGGTATTTACATATTCCCAGGAAATAAAACTCTGGTTCCAATTATGCTTTTTTTACAATAGGAAACCTTTATAAAATAGGAAAACCTTTCCTGCTTGGTCTGGCTCCAATCTCCAGCTTCTCTTCCTCTCTGTGATTATAGGACTGGATTGGTGTGGCTCCCTAATTAATACCCTGGGACAAGCCAAGGCAGGAAAATGAGAACCATCCCTGTTTCCATTGATGCTCATGGAAAGCCACAAGTGTGAAACCAGCTGGGCACCTTCAGGAGCCAAAGAAGAGCTCCTGCTCCTGCTCTGTGTGAGACTCTGCAGAGCTGGTGATCTCATATTTTTATAATTTCTGCTCCATTTGCATATTGGAGTTCATTGTGCAATTACAACTCCAGACCAGGCAGTCCCATCCTTCTTGTTTTTCTCTCTTCAGCCCATGTTGTTTGTGCTCTTGGGCTGAGATTTGGATCATTTGTCCTTGGTGCCCAGCTGGAGCAGGAATTGTTTTGTCTCCCTGCTCTGTGCAGAGCTCAGCATCCCCTCAGATGGAGCCCAGACCCACAGACTAAAGCAGCACAGAATGTGAAAAATAGAAAAGCTGAAACCTGAGGCGTCAGTGACAGAAAACCACCTCTGGTCAGCCACACCAGGCTCCCACCAGAGAAAGATTGATGCAAACGCTATCAAAATCCAGGTTTCCAGTGAAAAAGGCACCAGAGGAACACAGAGCAGGTGGGACAGAAGGGCTGCAGAGTGGGGTGGGATGTTACCTGTGGTGAAGTGGGTGGAGAGGGTCTCGCTGCTCTGCGCGTCCTTCTGCGCGCGGACGCTCAGCGTGTACTCCGTGGCAGGCTGCAGCCCCTTCAGGTCATACTCCACCGTGTTCCCTGAGACCAGCTGCGTCACTTCTGGCTCTGAGAACAGAACACAGCAGAAAAAAGGCGTTGATACCATTCAGACACATCATGATGTGGCTCAACTCCGTGCTCCACTCACTGATTTATTTTATTCCTGCTTGGTGCAAGTGCAGAATGATAACAGCTCAGAGCCCTTGGCTGTGCTGGCGCCTCTGCTTAGTCTGGGTTCCACCAGAGCACTTTCTCTAAAAGTGTGAGCTCTCTCTAGTGTTCACAGGAATTATAACACTGCCTCTGCTTCCCAGGAATCTCACTTATCTCTGCTCATGGCTGAGTCGAGAGTGCTGAATTAAGATGATCAATTTTTAAATGCTTCCAGCAAAGCCCCTTCTCTAAATAACATCCCCGAGGCTGCCAGAGCTCCAGGAGCCTTTGGCCAGCGCTGCCAGGGATGCCCAGGGTGGGGTTGTTTGGGGTCTGGGCAGGGACAGGAGCTGGGCTGGGTGATCCTGGTGGATCCCTCCAGCTCTGGATATTCTGTGATTTTCCTGGAGTTACAATCAGCACCTCTTGAGAGCTTTAACCCTTCAACTCCCCAAGCCATTCCCAGCTCCTCTCACCTTTCTCAGATGAGTAGGACACCACGTAGTTATCCACAGCAGCAATTGCTGGCTGCCAGGTTGCCAGAGCCTCAGAGTCTGTGATGTTCACCACTACCAGGCCTGATGGGCTGTCCAGAGCTGGAAGGAAAACAGATTGAAGGAATTTGACAAACACTCTCAGCTCGGTGCAATGCTGTGCTGTAAATTCATGAGAGAAAATGTCCAAAACTCAGTGCAGCTTTTATGACTCCCTTTGGAATTGTGGAGTTCTGCAGGAAAGACGTCAGTGCCTGTGGAGAGACACCAAAATCTCCACTGGAAAGGGAGGTCAGTGCTGGAAGAGATGAAAGTCTGGGAAAAAACAGAATTAACCATGTTCTCAGATGACTCTTGGTACCATTGATCTCAACAGCTCTGTCAAAGCTGACATATTTCTCTCAACACCCTCAAATCTGGGTTGTTTTTTAGAACAAATTCAGGAGACAGAGCTGGGAAAAATAACCAAAGTGACAGCAGCTGATGGCCACTGTGACCTTCCAGCAGCTTGTTTGGAACAAATCAATCCCACATACAGCCAGGCATCCAAAACCCCCCCCACGTCCTGCTTTGCCTCCTCACAGCACTCCACTTTTCACACAGGTTTATGCTCTCCCTGAATTAAGATGGATCTTTGACTCCAGAACAGGAATGGGTTATAAATCTTCTGTCATTATCCAGCACTCATCATCTTGTTTTGTGCCTCAGCTCTCTGAATGTTTGTTAGCCCCCAAAAAGAATACAAGGAGTCAGCAGGATCAGAGTGAACTCCCATTTCCTGCAGGGATATTTAAATAAAAAAATCAGGAGACAGAATACTGAGAAAAATATTGAGACAATATTGAAGAAAAAATCAGGAAAGAGAATGTTTTTAGGCTTAGGACAGTCTGGAACCTGGGACATGTGAAGTCCACAACAGAAACTGGTCTGAACTGCTCAGCTGAGCTTGGTCTTTGCTCCCTCATCTCAAAACCAGCATTAATTACAAAAAGAACCAAACAAACGTATGGGGTTTTTTTCTGGTGAATTAGAACTGTAAATACATGATTGTCTCCACCTCACAGGTTTATTTAGCATTTAGCAAATGGAAGCCTGACCAAATTTACCAGTTCCTCATGTAAAATGCAAAGACAAAGAAGGAGTGGGAAAAAGATCTTCCTACAGTTTGTGTGGGCAGCAAAAATGGGATCTTGGTGGGTCTGCAGCTCCAATCTCTGAGTCAGATGATCCATTTAAAGAGCTGCTATTTCCTGCTTTTATATTATTACCTGTTTTCAGGATGCCAGAGACGGGCTCGCTTTCTTCAAAGCCTTTCACAGAGATGACGCTGACATTGTAGTCCACACCTGGGACCAGCTTCACCAGCTTGGTCCTTGTCTTGCTCCCTTCGACTGTGACAACATTTGGGGTACCTAGGATGAGGCCAAATGCCAAGGGATGAGTGACACAAGACTCCAGGAAATGCTTAAAGGGTGTTTTTCAAGTTAAAGACATTATGGCCACCATGGATGTGCTTCTACAGCAGGAGAGGAATTTTTTCCAGTTAGTTACAACCACTGGTGTCAAATATTGTTGCCAGAACATCTAAATGTAAATAATTATTTTGTATTCAGTAAGAAAAATTAACATTTTTAGTGGAAGGTGTCCCTGTCTGTGACAGGGAGTTGGAATGAGATCAGCTTTAAGGTCCCTTCCTATGCAAACCATTCTGTGACTTCTGTTCAGAAAAATACAATTTCCCAGACAAGGTGTAAGCAGAAAGCCCATCAGTCTCTACCTGCGAGGACAGGGCTTTAGATCTGCCTTGCTTGTGGTGAGGGCTGGAAGATTCTCCTTTACCCTCCTCGTTTAGAATAAAGATACAGTGTATGTTATTTTAAAAGGTGCTTTGTGTGTGGCTGATGACTTAGCACCCATATTTACTGCAAATCCTGGGTTTATTCCAGGAAAGCACTTAGACAAATGCCTAACTTTATGACTGGATTCCTTTTCTTCTGTGGGACCACTGTATTTAAAGCTGCACGTGTGCTTACAGGCTATATTGTCTAAAGATCTAAATCTTTCCTCGTCTCAGTCCACAGCAGCAATTTTGTTGGTGCTGACATCTTTAGTGTTTGTTCTTTAGCTGTTTCCCTTCAGATATGTCCCTAAATTAGGTTAAAAATCTGTTGAAATAGAGGAAGTTTTTGAAGTTGGACACTAAACCGGAATGAGACAATGCTGGGGAGCATTGAGTAAATCACTGCCTTGAAACTTTATTATAACTATGGATTAGGATTATTATTTCCAAGGGCTATCTTTTCCAGTGTGCTCAGGTCATGAAGTACCTACAAAATAATGACAGTTTGGAAACTAATCCTTGCTGAGGAGGTTCAGAGACTTGTTAGGAGTACAACCACTCCAGCATTCACCTGGCCGCCATGTCCACATCCCATGGCAGTCAAGGAAAGGTTGGCTGCACACCCTCATTCCTGAAGAAGAATAAGAGAAAATCTGTGCAAGATCACCTGGATCAGCACTGAAAGGAGGGATGACAGCCCAGCAAAGCCTTCCTGCTCTCCCTGGCACCCCCTGGCCCAGCTCACCTCCCGTGACGGGGACGTAGGAGATGCGGAAGTTTTCCACGCGGGAGCGAGGCGGGGTCCAGCTGACTGTGGCAGCATTTTCCGTGATGTCAGAGAAAGAAATTCCCTTGGGAGAGCCAACCGCTGTCAGGGGAGAACAGAGAACACACCACACAGGAAGAAAAGGTAAATCATTTGTTTATCAGTCCTTAATGCTGGAAAACTGATTTGTTTTCTCACCCTAAACCATGAGCTGGTGCTGTCAATGTTCTGCTCTGAGCAACATTAATGCAGGGGGTACAAAACTGATGGGTTTTTATTACAGCAACAACCTATTTGGTCCAAATTTTCCTTTTTTTCAGGACCATTCCAGTATTGCATAGGTTTAAAATACCCAACATGTATCCACATATAGAAATAACAGAGATTTCAGTGCTGTAGAAAAACAGGAGGAAAATGCACAGCAATGACATTCTGCTACCCATGGGATGCTGTATTCAAGATTTTTTTCTATTCCAGTTTCACTTGGAGGATTTTTAGACCTTCCACTGAGTCGCAGAGGCCTCTGTGACACACAGCAATGACAACCATGGACAGATCTCTCTTCCTGAGCATAAAGTTCCTAATGCAGGATGCTCCAAGGAGACCTGGACTCAGGTGTGGGAGCCCATCAAGGCTCCTCTCAAGAACTCCCTCCTGGAACTTCTGTTGGCTTCAAACCAGAAGAAACAAGATTTTCTTCCTGGAATCTCTCTCTGAGCCCATGATTTTTCTTTCAAGCATATCCATCCAGAGAACATCGAAGTACAACCATCACAGGAAAGGCACCTGTAGCTCCACTGCAGCTCTTTGTCATAAAACTCAGCCTTTCCCTATCAAAACATGAGCACTGCACTTGCCCACCTAAATTAAATCAGTAAGCTGGGCAAAAAAACCCCAAATTTTACCAAAAATAACCCAAACTTAAACCCAACATGTATCTGAAACATTCCAGTTGGTGGCTTAATTAAGATCCTGCAGAACAAACATGGAAAGGGCTTTGGAAGGATGTGGTAAAGAGATTTTACATTGAGATTTACATTGAGCATCCCACTTCCAATCTTTCCAGCTTTTTTTGGCTATAACCAAAACAGCCCTGAGGTATTACAAAATAAACAGCACACACAGAGCAGGCAAAGAGCACACAAAGAGGAGAGATCCCAAAGATCAGCCACATGAAGAGGAGTGGAGACAGGCTGAGAGCAGGGGAAGGGGGGCAGAGGAGGGAAAAAAAACAGGGGCTGGGCTTGAAATAGCTTGGAAAGAACGTGCCTGCGGGAAAGGAGTCAGAGGCTGTTTGTTCCATGTGTCCCCAAAGCAGCATGGCACTAAATCAACTGAGAGGCAAGGAAAGAAAAACAACTGAGCTCTCAAGAGAAATGTAAATTATGTCTCTGGAGCTCACTAGAAGTGTTGTGTTGGTGGGGTTTGCTCACACGGACAAGCCAAGGGAAGAAAGGAATTACAGATAAGAAAGGAAGCGAGGTGGGGTTGGAAAAGCTACGTGGCACAAAAAGGTGTTGCTGGTTTGGGTACAGGCTGAAGGAAATCAGAGAATATAAATAAAACATAGGAAAGATAGAGAAATTAAAATTAGATTGGTTATGCTTTACATTATAGGTAGCCTGAGAGGCTGAAGAAAAAGGGAGGTGGTGATTTTGGAGACCAAACAGATGGACCAGCACTTGGTTTGCATACACATGGAGAATTTCAGCCTTTTCCAGAAAATAAAATCCCCAATCCCTCCCACTTGGACTCTGCTGTGAACATTTCCACGGGCCTCAGGCTTGTTTTCTGCACCAGGTGAGCTGCATGACAAAGAGCAATAAGAAGAGCTTTGATGTGAATTTTCCACATCCCCAAGTCCCCCAGCTGCAGCTTTCCTGGGAGAGAACCTGGCAGGAAATATAATGGACCATCAGAGCATCTGTCCTGGAATGAATCCCAGAGATGGGAGAGATCTGCACCTTTGAGCACAGGGAAATGAAAAAGAAGTGAATGAAATCATCTTCTTGAGCTACCTGAAAGCCAGAATGAAGCAGGCACAGAAAGCAGCCAGCGTGCTCCTGACCTGGCACTCACAGAGAACTCAGGTCATCTGTAGGGCAGGCACAGGTGAATTATCTTTATCCTCCAGCATCACCCCCAAAGAGGTGTATGAGAGACAGGGAACTCTCCTGAGGGGCTGCTAAAGCACCCATGGTACCTGCGAGAGGCTGGTTTTTTAGGGATGCTTTTTCTAATTGTTCTTTCATTTCTAGCAGACTAGAGGAGGATGTTCCCTGGCTTTCTTCTCCCAATCAACAGGAAGCAGCAGGTTGCATTAAGCACAAATCAAGAGCATGTGAAGTGTTTTGTGATCATCTCAGGAAAAAACTGCTGTCACAATGTGGCAAAACACCACTGGAAGAAGAGGAAAGGAGCAGCATGAGACTCACACTTCCAACAAGGATATTAATTGGACCATAGATGAGTTGTGATCTTCCAGTGGGGGTTAGTTGCACCTTTACTGAGGTATTACAGATAAAATTCTAAAAGACACCAACTCTGAGAGCAGCAGTGGATAAATTCCCTCTTCAGGGATAGAAATATTTCCTTGCAACCACACTGGAAATGCTATAAATATACATATGTTTGTGCAATAATCCACTCCTAAAAAAGAAATTAGTTGGCTGCCACAGCTACCTTAGCAGCCACCCACCCAACGTGGTGTAACCTGCAGCCCAAATTATTTACGTGGCTTTTTGAGGTCTATTGTCCATTATTCATGGGCTATTTACAGCTGACAAACATCTCTTGGGCTATTGGCTCCAGTAAGTGACATGAACTAAATCTCCCTGCAAGGGCTGCACAGGGCTTAATCATGAGGAAAATGACAACTCTCAGTGGCTTCCCATAAATATCCTGGGAGTCACTGAGGATGGGGACCTGCTGCTGACAAGGGCAGTAGACTTTAAACATCCCTCTCCATTGGGAGTCAACGTGAGCAGCCTGGCCAAGGGGGGCTGCTGGTGCTCGTTCTGCTTCATGGAAGTGTCTGGGGGGTTGTGAGGGTGGCCTGGCTGTTTGTGCAGGGATGTGATGGCAGGAGTGCAGCTGGGAAAGCCTTTCTGTGCTTGCAGCTGAGCCCGCAGGCAGCAGGGCGGAGGATGAGGGCTCGGAGGCTGCCTCAGGAGAAGTTGTTCAACCCTGAGTTGTTGCTGCCTGGCAAATGCCTCCTTTAGACATTCCTGTTGCTTTGCTCACTCATGGAGCTTAGAATCATACCCTGAGCTGGAAGGGACCCCAAGGATGACCCAGCCCATCCCTGTCCCTGCCCAGACCCCCCAAAATCCCACCCTGGGCATCCCTGGCAGCGCTGGCCAAAGGCTCCTGGAGCTCTGGCAGCCTCGGGGCCGTGCCCATTCCCTGGGCAGCCTGGGCAGTGCCAGCACCTCTGGGGGAAGAACCTTTCCTGCTCTCCAGCCTGAGCTGCCCTGGCCCAGCTCCAGCCGTTCCTGGCTCCTGTCCCTGTCCCAGAGCAGAGCTGGAGCTGCCCCTGGGGAGGAGCTGCACTCCTGGTGAGCTCTCCTGTCTCATCCTTTTCCTTTCCTCCCATCATTAATTTGATTTCAAATTACCACATTTTAACATCAGCAAGCTCAAAAATTTTTAAAGAACAAATTTGGCTCATGAGACATTGCATCACATGCTTCAGGTTTGAATGTGTTTCAGAATGGAACCACGATTTTGGTGTGAAAAGAATGATTTAAACACTTCATTCAAAATGCCAAAATGAAATGCTTCAATTATGAACCTCAATCAAAGCTTTGATTTTGCAAAGAAACTCAAGTCAATTTGAATTACCCAGCACATGTTGCTCCTGGTAAGATCAGTCGAAATTAATGGTGCTTAGGCCTTTGCTGGTCAAGCCATAAATAAACTTCTCAATGGCCCTGGTAAATTCATTTTGTCATAACTCTTTCCTAGGGAGGTAAATTGTTGTGCAGAGCTGAGATGTAATTAGTCACAGAAAATCACTGAAAAAGGCTGATGCACAGACAATATTTCTTGGCCCTCAAAGACAGTGTTTTAATTGCCACACTCTGCTGCCTAATTCCTGATCATTAAAGTAATTCAATTAAACCGTATTAAATAGACAGTGATGAAGCTTGGGAAGCTGGGACTGATTACAAATAACCACAGCACACTGAACCAGTGACTTGGACAAGGGACATGCAGGAGACAGCTCAGGACACCTCAGGAGCTGGCTGTGAAAAGGGAGCTGCTGAAAGGAGCAGGGAATGTCACACTTTTCCCACTGCAAAGACAATACCTGTGGATGCTACTGTGTTTACGGGCTGGGAACGTTGTCCACTGCCAATTCCATAGAGCTCAATCTCATATTCAGTGCCCTCTTTCAGCCCTGTTATATCCTGGGTGCGCTCATGGCCTGGCACTATCAGCTCCAGGGGGTCAGATTTCCTTTTGGTGTCCCTGATTTTTAGAACAAAACTGTTGAAAACCCCATCATCTGCAGTCCAGGAGAGACGGAATCCATCTGGGGTTGCGTCTGAAACCAGAAGGTTGTCCACCTCGGGCTCTGCTTCTAAAAAAGGAGAAGATAGCAGTGGGGAAAAAAAATGATTTCTTAATCAGTTGATCAGAGACCTGCCTGAGGTCTGGCTATAGCGCACTGCAAGAATCCAACCACAGTTCAAAGCAAGGGGAACAATCTGCCAGCTATTAAAAAAAAATAAAATAGATTAGTGTTATACAGAACAGGATAAATGTGAGTGTGTGCAGGCCCATTCTAACTTCCACTCTCGGACAGCAAACCACTGCATGGACACACAGGTTTGTCTCCCACATGCAGAGTTACACATGCTAAAGGTGAGTTTCCTGGGCATTTATCCCTCCCTACCTGTGTGACACATTTATGGCCAATAAAAACAAATTCTTGTTACAGAACTGCATGTCTGGAACCTTGTCAGACCTTTCTGCTAGGAGGACAACAGAGAAGCCACTGAAAATTCTTTTACTCCATGCAAACCCCTTATTTCATGCTCTTCTGGCATCTGTGATGATTGTGATCTATTTAATCCTTTACTGTGCTCTTAAACAGGAAAGGGGAGTCATGAAAATTCCTCTCTTAAACAGCACCCTTCAATCTAAATGCAAGAGCTGCTGCCTCTGGTTAATGAACCCGTTCAAAAGGATCCCAAGGGCTCTAAGTTATTAATTACCTACAAATCACCTCTAACTCATGTGGTCAGGCACCATTAGCTAGAGAAATGCTGCTGGAGTGGTTATGTCCTACAGCACCTCCAGAGCAATCCTTCCTTCCACACAGAGCCATTCCTATTTCTTTCCTCTCAAACCTCCTACCAAATGCAATCCTTCCTTCCACACACAGCCATTCCTATTTTTTTTCCTCTCAAACCTCCCACCAAATGCAATCCTTCCTTCCACACAGAGCCATTCCTATTTTTTTTCCTCTCAAACCTCCTACCAAATGCAATCCTTCCTTCCACACACAGCTATTCCTATTTCTTTCCTCTCAAACCTCCCACCAGATCCCACCCCCAGCTTCACTGCTGCCCAGACAGGAATGTCAGATAAGAACTGATGGTTCTGGGGCTGGAGAATCAGCCTGCAATCATTTCCCAAGAAAGCCCAAGTGCTGCTGGAAGACAGCAGCTCTGATATGGTTGGAAGCATGAGCTGGTTTGAGAGAGGTGCCAACTTTGGGGTGGCAATGATCCCACTGTGGGTGGAACCCACACAGAGAGGCAAAGAGAGGAGGCCATGGGAAGAAGTCCATGGCTCCTCCTGAAGGTCCTGATGGCTGGAACGTGGGAGAATGATGCTGTTGGAGAATGCTGATGTGCCCAGCTGTTAACAAGACGAGCTCTGCATGCAGCCATTCTTCTTTCAAGACTTTGTTAGAGGTACCTGCAAGACCATAAGGAACTTTCACCCCTCAGGCCCCCACATGCTCCTCCACAGGATCCCTCAGAGGGAAACATCCAGTTAAAGGGAACAGGATTCCACTGGTGAACCCATCAGTCACGAGGAGTTACGTGGAGCCACGATGCAGAGAAGGATGCAAAAGCCAAGGTTTGCATGAAAACGCCTTCGTGTGAGAAGGAAAGTGAGAGAGAAAGGGGTGGAAGGGAACAATTTGCTCACATTGAAATACCTGTAACAGCCAGAGCGCTCAGGGGCTTTGTTTGGTGCCCCTTGGCAAACCCATAAAGCAAAACCTCATAGCCAATGCCAGTAATTAGGCCTTTAAGCTTCAGCTCTCTCTGGGCTCCCGAAAGGAGGAACTCTTGTGGGTCCAGCAGCTTGCCAGAATCCACCACGACTACTAGAAAGTTGTCAAAGGCATTCTCCGATGCCATCCAGGACACTGTGAACCCATAGGGGTTCATGTCAGACACTGTTAGGTTTTCCAGTGGGGGCATGGCCTCTAAAAGAAGTGAAGGTGCAAAAACACACACACACACACACAAAAAAAAAAAAAAAAAAAAAAAAAAGGAGAAAAACATTGCAAATTAGAAAGTGTCACAGATTCCGTCAAACAAAAATCACGTTTTTTCCCCCTAGTGTGGATTTAATAGCCAGGACGATGAGGATTTTCAGTGGAGCTCAATTTTGAATTTTTCTCAGGGATGTCTCAGCACCTTCTCTCACCTTTCTCTCAGAGTGAGAAACCCCTCCCAGTGGAGGGGAAACCCCTCCCAGCTCCCTGTGTAAGCATATTCCTGCTGCTACCCTTGCACTGTAAGAAAGTTATAACCAAAACTGCTCTAGAAATGCTGCACATAAAGCTTTCAATTATTTTTACTTCTCTCCACCATCAGTGCTTTAGGGACAAACCTCGGTTTGGGCATTCACAACCCCTGTATTTTACTTCTTTACCTATTCCACATGAATATCTCCAGCCTTAGTTTTCAGTGCTGGAGGGGTCAGAGGTGCCAGAACAGGAACATTAATCACTCAGGGTCACAGCCAGTGCAAATCAGCTGCTGCTGTGCTCTGTTGACAACTTAAAGAAATTCCACTGAGGGCTTCTTTTTCACATCAGTGTGACATTTGTCAAAGCAAAAAGATGTGGAAAACACTTCAAAATTCACTCACTAAGTCTCAGTGAAAAAAAAAAAAAAGGCCAACATTTCACAAGATTCACAGTGTATTTTGCTCACTCTAAATCTGACAAGTCAAATAGGAAGATCAAGTGGCTCTGCTAAGCCCTGGCCTTGATCCTGGAGCCCAGGCACTGCTTGTATTTCTCCACAGGATTTGTCCAGCCTCGCTCTGCTGGCTCAGGAGCTGATTCAGCCAGTCTTCCAACCACTCAAAATCCCACTCATCTCAGAAAACACCAGTTAGTTAAAGGCAGAACCTTCTCCTGAAAAGGGCTTTGGGTTTGCTTTTGACATTTCACAAACACTGGAATGGATTTTGTAAGAACTTGCCATAAAAATTCCCCCTGCAGAGTTATAATTTGGAATTCCTTATTGAGTACTTGAGTACTCATTTTACAGATATTTTTGCATCTTATTTACTTCTAATCCAGCAGTCCCCAAGATTCTCATCTTGGGTAGGTCTCTGGAAGGGAACATCCTGGGACAGGACGTGTTCCACGAGCCAGTCCTGTCTGATGAACTCCTGAGCAGCAGGCAAATTTCTCCCTCAAACTTCAGGAGTTATAAAAGATTATTAGATGTGGGAGAAAGGCTCCAGAGGGGTCTTAATGACAGAATCATGATACCACAGAATTATTTGGGTTGGAAGGGACCTTAAATTTATCGAGTTCTATGGGCAGAGATACCTTTCACTATCCCAGCTTGCTCAGAGCCCCATCCAACCTGGCCTTTTAACTCCCTTTAAACTAATCCTGCTCCCAGGAATTTTTTTAAGGTCAACATTCCTGTTCTGACCCCTCATTGCACCGGGTTTTCAACCAAACCCATGGCTGCTGGGGAGATCCTTTTTGGGGACACGCGTTTCCCAGAGGCAAGAAAGGGACTGCAGAGCTTGGAGGTACCTGTGGTGACAAAAGCAGTGAGGGGCTCTGTGGGGACACCTGCCCTGGTGGTGCCCCGAATGTGAATGTCATAGGCAGTGTGATCTGTGAGGCCTGAGATGTGGGCGCTGCGCGTGCCCCCTGGCACTGTCAGCTCCTGGGCTTCCTGTGCCGCCAGGGAATCTTGGATTTTGATAACAAACGTGGCAAAGGGCCCGTCTTGAGTGGTCCAGGACAGGTTGAAGCTGTCAGGGGTAACGTTTGTGAGGGTGAGTGTGCCCAGCTGTGGCTCAGCCTCTGGGGGAGAAAGGAACACAGGTGAGCAGGCAGCTTTTCTCAAAGGAGTGGGGGAGTCAGCAGAGGGTGCTCAGAAATAATGTTTTAGTCTTGTTTTGCTGTGGTTGACTAAAAAAAAAAAATTTAAAATAAAATAATAACTTTTTTAAAAGCAGCGTTGTAAGAGCTATTTTCTCAGGTTTTGAAAAGAAGCCATGAAATTAGTGCTGACTTTTATATTTTTTCATGAAATTTTCTTAAATAAACTCAACTTGCCTAATGAAATCTGGGCCTGGTTTACAGAAGCACCAACAACATAGACATACAAATTGTGGGAGTTCCACACTGGGAATTTGATGGGATTACAGACCCACGGCAATTCCAAAATAGAGAAAGTAGGATTCAGGCAGGAATCCTTGAAATCCCAGTCCAGGTTCTGTTTGGTGTTTCTGTTGCCTGGAGTTGAAGATGCTTCTATTTTTGGACTCTGAGGTTTATGAGGGATTTCAGGGATTATCTCAGCACTAATCTCAGGCCAAAACCTCCCTGGACTCCACGGATAAGGTGTTCCTCATCCTCTGATTAGGCACAGAGAATGTCTACTAAACAATAAACCCCACAACACTGCTCTTGCTCTCCTTCCTGACTGTTCAGTGGTCAGGGCACCTCCTTAAAAAGCCAAGACTTTCCTTTTCTGCTGGAGAAAATTCAAATTCACATCTCTACCCTGCCAGGAGAGGGAGAGCTCCTTACCCATTGCCTTTTAAAACTCTTACACTTAGCACAAAAATCATTAAAGCTTCATTAAAGTCCAGAGAGAGAACAAACACAACCCAACAATCAGAGAATCCTGTGTTCACTCTCTGGGCTGATTTTCCAATTTTTATGTTGTCAATTGAGTAGGAACCAAGAACACCTTGGGAAATGCAGCCAGTGAGAAACAGAACACAGAAAAATAATGATGGAAGAGTGATCCATGCTGGGAAAAAAGTCAGAGAAAGGATCCCACCGACAGACAGTGGTGAAAGAGTGAAATCTTTTTCTTTGCTAAAACAAGTACTGCTGCAAGATGTTCCAACTTTTACTCCTGTCCCCCATTGCAAGACTTTTAAATAATAATCCGCCTCATTCTCTGGAATTTTCTGGGAAGAGGTGAATGGAAGTGGCCCCGATTAAGGACACAGATGTCACAGATGTCATGCTGTCAACCAGTGAGCATGGATGCCTTCATGATCAGCAGGGAAGGTACCACCATGGTGCTCTTGAAGACAGGCAAGGAGATGAGAAAATATCCACAAAGCAAACAGGCTTGGGTGGAAAACCCAGGAAAACGGGGCCCTCAAACCCACATGCAGCTCAGAGAGGGCAAAGGCAGTCTTTCCAACCTCATCCTGGCATGGCCGCATTCCTTCACATGCCACCTGCATCCATGGTCAGGCACATTCCCATCATGACAGCCTGACTCCCAGGAATGTTACATGCAAAATGAGCTGGAATCATATCCTCAGGCAAGTCTTAGTGATCTCCTGCCATCCTGGAATCACCACCACCCAGGGAAACAAGACAGGCTGTGGAGACTCAGAGGGAGCAATGCAAGGGACAGAGTGGTGGGCTGACCACCAAGAAAAGGGAAATTTGCTTTTTGAGCCCTGCTCTGTGCTGAGAATGTAAAAATCCTGGGCAGAGAAAATATCAGGACCAGCAGAAGGTGGCCAGACCACTCCATGCAGTTTGGGTTGATCATTTCACATGCGGCACGAAACGCCCCCAAGAAATGCAAATGTCCTGGGAGACATTTGGGTTCAAGGAGGACAAAACTGACATGCAGGTGCCTCTCCAGGCTGAGAACCACATGAAGGCATCTCTCCCACCCCCAGGAAAGAAAGTGAGGGTGGGATGAACAACTTCATTCAAGATAAAGTGCAAAGATGCTGAGTGAAACACATCAACCATCTGGAGCAAGGCAATTATATATACACTGAACTTGCAGAGAGGTGTGTATATATAAGGAAACCATCATGGTTTACTACTGCCTCTCTTAATGCTGGGGGCACTTTTTCAGCCTTTTCCATTGCCAAAGATCTTTTTCCAAGCCCTCTCAGTGCCTTTAAGCCTCCCCTCATGGTGATCTCCCTTGTAATTCCGCAAGGGAACGACGATGAGTTGGAGCCCCGTTTTAGAGCAGTTTGGTGGACAGCAAGAGAAAGGAGAATAAAAAGCAAACCTGGAAGGTGAAACAGTGAAATACCTGTGGTTGCCATGGCTGTCAAGGTCTGCCCACCTTGCCCATCAATTACCCCATGGAGCTGGACTGTGTAATTAGTGGCAGCTTTGAGGTTGGTCACTACAGAGTGCCGAGAGTCCCCTGGCATTGTGAGCACCAGGGAGTCCAAGGGGAAGTCAGAGTTCCTGACTTCCAGAATAAAGTGGTCAAAGGCCTTGTCCTGTGCCTCCCAGGTGAGTGACAGGCTGTCTGAGGTAGCGTTTGATACACTGAGTTTGCTAAGGAGTAGTTCCTCTACTATGGGAAGAAAAACAAATGGAAACGTATCACAGTTATTAAAAGCCAAAGCAATAAAACAATTAATAGAGAAGTTTGAATTCACCCAACCACGGGTCACAAGGGTCACCCAGCCTTGTGTTTCCCTATGTTTCCCATACCTCTGCTGTTACCCTGACCCTGCCACCCATCATCAAATAAGGATATTCACAGTCTGCTGCTGCTGGAAATTGATTTTATATTATCTGATAGCTGAGATTTGATATTTTGCTTTCAATGACCACAATATTCCATTCCTATGACAAATCACTCTGACAACTTTTCCTAGAGGGGCAAAATTTGGTGGAGGTGTTAAACAATCACAACATGAACCACTATCTGCCTACAATAACAAAGTTCTGTTTCTGTAGTCCAGTCTTCACTTCCCACTCTCATCCTGAGCATTTAACTTCCCTGTCTTTTCTGGGAAAACTGTAAAACCTCGAAATGTTCAATGTGCCAACAACTCAGTGCCTGCCTATTCCCTTCTCTGACATCAACTCAAATGGACTTTTCAATCTCTCACCCAACACAACCTGAATAATTGAAGCTGAATTCAAGCAGTGAATGTGCCTTGCAGGATTGTGCTGGCACAGACTGAAACGTGCCTGACATATTTTGGGAGAATCGGGGTAAATCTGTGTCTAACAATCAGCTTATCTGAGAGCAACTGTGTCCTCTCTGAGCTGTGGGACAGGTGCACACGCAGGTTGAAAGGTGACCATAAGGAGTCATCTCCCACTTGGTTCTTGGGATATTTGCTTTGCTTCTCTCCTGCCTCAGAGGCTGCCCCAGCCTTGATGTCTAGCCTCATTGTGTGAATGAAATCCCAGCACGATGTGATTGCCTGACTGCTGGCTGGGATGGTGGCTCAGCATTCACAGCTCACAATGTCCCCGGCCAGTCTTCCTCAGAAGGCGTAGAGGATTGGGAAATGGGTGGGCTGTGGGGTAGCTGAGGGCAGGGAAGGGGGCACAACCTGTAAGGAAGAGTTCAAAAAAGCAGAGTTAGCACTGAGGCAGGCTTTGTGTACCTGTGGTAGCTGCAGCACTGATTGCCTGTGTGCGGAACCCGCGAGAGATCCCGGAGAGGTAGACAATGAAATCAGTGCTGGGAGAAAGCCCTGAGATATGAGCAGTCCTTGAGTTGCCTGAGAGGTTGAACTCCATGGGCTCCAGCAACCTGTTAGAATCAATAATTTCAATGGTAAAGGCATCGAAGTCCCCGTTGGAGGCTGTCCAGGAGAGGTTGAAACTTTCGGGAGTAATGTCGGAAACCGTGAGCTCTGCAATGCCGGGCTGCTCTCCTGGGGAGGGAAACAACACTGGTCAGAAGGGCCCCCAGCCTCCTCCTGCCCTCTAAGGCTCCTCTCTGCCATGCTGGCAGCACTGCCAGCTGGGGAAGGCGGTGTGAGTAAAAGCTTGCTACAATCAGACAGTTACTAAGGGGAGGAAATCAAATTAAAGCATCGCAAAATGTTAGATAAGGAAAAAAAATTTAAATAACATTTAAACTATTGTTATTTTCCTTTCCCTTTGGGAGCAGCCACGTCTTTGAGGCCTGGGCATGAAAGCAGATGCAAAAGGAGTTTCTTCAATGCCCCCGGGGCATTTGGAAAAGATAGCTTCCAGTTTTAGGAGAAGCTAAAAGCAAAGCTGTTGCTTTATCCAAAGGAAAATCTTGTGCTTTGTTTACTCTTCTACTTTCCCTTTCAGCTTAAGTCTGTGAAAGCTGGCTTGTAATTTTGGAGCTGGAGCCAAAATGCAAAACAGGGAGAGATGCCTTGGGGTTTCTTCCTCTCTGCAGACATCCCCGTAGCGTTACAGGAAGGTTCAGATATTTTTTAACAATTGGAAGTCCCCAGAAGGGAAGATTTTGAAAAGCCGGGCGCTGAGCTTGACCCAGAAAGGGAAAGGAAACCCTCAGCAGGGCATTTTCTGCTGCTTTCACGAGGGTAAAGGAAGGGAGCAGATTGCATATTGAGGCAGGACACCCATGATGTGTTTCCTGCTTTGTCTCTTTGTCCAGCACATTGCTCTGTTCTCCACGGGCATCTGCTCCCAGCTCCTGGGGAGGACTCTCAAAGCTCAGCACTTTCACTGGGACACAGCACAGGCATTCCTGCCCAAGCCAGGCTGCTCGGAGCACTACAGAAACAAGCAAGCTCTGCTGCACTTCATGCTTTAATTCTGATTAGTTCTCACAGGTGCTTTCATCCCTTTCTGTGCTGGGTGCTGTGTGCTTGGGGGAGCCTGGCATGAGCCAGCTCTGGCTATCTCACAGAGACAGGAGGTCAGAAGGGGCTGGAGGGGAGCCCAGAGGCAGCAGAAATTGTCTGCAAGAAATTGTCTGAAGGAAAGGCCACTGGTGCCCCTTTAGTGCCAATTAATTCACACTGTTCATTACAGTTATCGTAACACCTGGGAGCATCAGAGAGCTACAGAGCAGAGATGTAAATATACATTTATCTCTCACGGTCAAAGCCTGTGATAAGCTCTTACTTCAAACTGATGCTTTTCACAGGATCAGCCAGAAAATTATTCTGGGGCCCTTGATGAGCTTCATGCAAATTCCTGATAGCAGAGAGCTCACCTGCCTCCTTTCAGGGCAGTCTTATCCCAGGGTAGTTCTGTTGAATTTGATCTTTTGCATTATATCTTTTTCAGGCCAGACTGTTTCATGATCTTATATGGCTTAATGCTTTTTATTTGTCTTATTAGGAATTAATGTTCTGTCCTGTATGAGAACATATGGAAGGTGTTTGTCCTTGCCCTGAGTCAAGTACACACAGCTTTACCACTCTGAGTCTGAATTCACACAGAAGCTACTGCAGAATTTCAGAGGCAGCTTCTGAAGGGTAAAAACTCTCAGGCTTTGAGTATCTGGGCTAATAAATGATAGATTTTTATCATTTTACCAGGCAACCTGGCCTTTCCCAAGCAGGTACAACATCCGGATGGGTTTTGCTGTTAGTGTCAGCCATGTAAGTGAGGAAAGGGAACAAAAAAAAAAAGCTGTTCTGAGGCAGGGTGGGGGAAAGCAAGGAGGGAAGGGCACTGAAACTCTGGCTGGGAAGCCTGACCACGAGGCATTGCCATGCCAGAGATGTTCAGCCAAGCTTTAAGGAGCTCAGGACACCTGTGCAAGGCTGCCCCAGCGAGCAGGATTTGCCCAGCACTCGCAGGAGCTCCGGCTCACATCTCTGTCAGCAAGAACGTGGGGCTGCAGGAAAGGTACCTGTGGCAGTCTCAAGAGAAAGGGGCTTGCTCCTGTAGCCCCGAGTGACCCCCTGAAGGGTGATGGTGTAAGAAGTGTTGGCCTTGAGGCCGGTGACATTCACAGAGCTCAGTGTCCCCGGGACTGTGACATTTCGGGTCTCCTCAGGCTTGCCAGACTCCTGCACCTGGAGGACAAAGTTCTCATAGGCGCCGTCAGCTGCTGTCCAGGTGAGCTGGAAACCATCCCAGCCAGGCTCTGACACTGATAATTCCCCCAGCTCAGGTTCCTCCTCTGGATAAGGACAGAGAGTCAATCTGTTACTTGGGTTGCAGAGGGGTGCTGATGCTGGATTATTTAATGAGGTTCTGTGTTAATGAATTTCACATTTAATCAAGGCCACAGAGATGCTCCCCCACTGCCCTACATTTACACTGTCAGATAACTTCTTACTGCCTCAGATAACTTCAATAGAGCCTCTTTGGAGACATGGCAAAACAGAACAGTCAGAGAAGGACTCTAATAATTAATAAATATTTAGAGGCTGCCCACAGAAAGCAGCTCATAGAGAATCTTACAGCTATAAGTGTTTTATCAACATTAATCACAACTCTCTATGAGATAAGTAGGTATTACTGTGACAACTTTACTCAGTGTGATACACTGAGTTGTGAAACAACTTGACTTCAGTGCCATTCTGAAGTAACTGTGTTGTAAGGGTAGGAAAGGGTACAGTTTAAAGTAGTTGGGATTCAGATATTTATGCTTTTAATTGCATCCACTTGAAGGATGCTGCTTAAGCTTCCAAACTATTTCTAATACAAAACAACAAAGAGAAAAATGCCTCCATGTCTGCATGTCTTTAATGGATTTTTCTTCTTTTGTCACATTATTCTACCCACAGACCCTTCCTGTTGGTGTAGACAGGACTTTCAGAGTTACTGATATTAATCTAAAATCAAAATGTTCACTCACAGAAATTAACATTCTTGCAAAGCCCCACAGGGGTAGCCAAGGAAGCTGGGAGCCATCAGAGGTAACTCTGCTGTTAAATCTGAAAGTTGAGGTCATTTGCTCAGCAAGAATGGAAATTTCTTTGTTACAAAGGAGATACAACTGATTCCTTAATATTAACAGTCAGAGGGAAAAATAAGAGAGCACTGCCTGGTTTTCTACCTGGAAACTCCTGTGTGCTCTATCACTGACCTGTGGCCTGGGATGATTTTCTAGCACCCTTCTGATTTATTTGAATTGTTGCACATAAGTGTTAGAGTAAGAACAGAGTGTCTCTGAATAATCCCATCCTGCATGACTGAAATTCATAAGAGATGTTGCCATGACTGAGAACTCGTAAGAGACGTTGCATGAAGCGAAATGTAATTTGTCAGTTGTAAACTTCAACTTTATGCATATTTTTATACAGTAGTTAAGGGGGCCTTGGAATAAATGAAATTCGGGTTCAGCAGCATCACTCATAAGGAGTTTCTCCCAGTAAAACCAGAGTGATTGTTGCATGACTGCTCAAAGCCTTAGGCAGGCAGCTGGGGCTGGAATTTCAGAGGTTGAGTGCTCATAGATCATCATGATCTTCAGTAAAATTCATTCATAAGTCAGTAAATTGCTGCTATTGAGGAACAGAAGTTCTGTTGAACTTTTCCCATCCTGTTAGAAGGAAAGAGACTGTTTATGACATGATGATGACGTTCAACAACAATAAAAGAAATGCATTAATCCAGAGCTGTCTTCCTTTATCAGGATCAGAAAGGAGATTCATTGAGGTAAAATAGGAGTTATGTCAAAATAGGAGTGTTATCTGGAAAAGAGAAAGCAGAACAGGAAGGGAACTGGCTGTATCAGAGATCACGATCTGTTGGTGGCAACAGAAACAAATAAAATAAATATACTTCCTTAAAATGAAAGTGAAACTAAAGTTACAGTGAAGTTAAATCTTTTAAATAGAAGCTTGGTTATAACAAGTAATGCAGGAGAGATCACAAGTTGAAAGCAATTCTGATTCCTCTGAAAATGCTCAGTTTCATTCTCCTCCACGATGCAGAGCCACTTTTCCTGCCATTTGTTTCTCATGCATGTCGGAGACAGAAAAGCAAACAACCCTCTCATGCTCTCCCAGGACCAAGGGGTTCTCCTGTGGAATCATGCACCAAACAGGATTGCTGGGGAGCTTCAAAATCCTCAGCCATCCAGCACCCAACACAGATGACAAAGCAACCACAGCGTCACGGTAAAGATCAAGGGATGTTGTTTCTTATTTAAAAAATCCCAAACAAACAACATCAGAGAGAGCAAACCATGGAGAGGTGAGACTGTTCTGGCTCTGTGAAACAATATTTGTGTCTCTACATAAGTAGTTTACCTCGTGTTGGGAGTTTGGTTTTGAGGGATGGACAAGCACAGTCCTTAAGTCTCCAGACCTGAGCTCACACCTGGTACTTTGGTCATTATTGAGCTCAGCCCTGTCACCTCATGAAATTCATGGAACAGGGGTAAGAGGTAGGAATGTCTGGAAAGGTGTCACAATCTTTTTTTTTCTCTGACAGCACCACTCCCATGCCAAACTCCTCCTGTGTTTAAGCACAATCCAGACAAGCACATGCAGCATCTCTGTGCTCCCACATCCCTTATCGGCAGCAGATGCATCAACGTCTCTCTTTGCATGCAATTTGAAAAGAGAGATTTGATGCTGCATCACCTTCCAAACTGCATGGGGCATTGTCCATGCTGCACCACCCGAGGCTCTCATTCCGTAGCTGAAAGAGTTTCATCCCATGCAAAAGTTAGAATAAACCAGCCAAGAGGAAAAGCACCACTCACAAAGCCTAAAATCCGTACCAAAGCCATATGGAAATGGAGCTCTGGACTTTGAAGCAGAAAAGGAACACGTGGCTGTGAATCCATGGGAAATACCTACAGCAGCTAGAACTTCCAGGGATCAAGAGAGCTGGCTTTGAGTAGTTCCACAGAGGTTAATCTGGAATTGTTTGCTAGCTGGGAGATTGGGAAGTTCTGTTTCTCAAAGATTTCACAGCAGAAATATTTCCTGTGCTCTGTCTAAAATGGACAGGCCTTTCAGAGTGATAGGGAACTAATCAAATACCTCATCTTGTGCTGCTCAGGACAGGGTGAAACTACTGGAAGTCCTGTGGGTTATGTTAAGGTCATGAAGAGCCCCAGTGGCTCTGGGCTGGGCAGGTGAGGAGGCACTAAAAGCAGAGCAGGAGGTTCAGGGCTGGGGGATGTTAAATAAGTGAGCTGGGGAGGATCAAATGGTGTTTCACTGATTGATTGTCCAGGTGTGGTGACCAGAAGTGCTAAAAAGTGCTAAAATTTCCTGATAATAACCCTCCAAACAACAGACTCTGTGGGCTGTGCATTGGGAGCTCTGGAAACAAAGCAAACAGAGGAGTTGTCCTGGTTTTGGAGACTGAGTCCAGGCCTCGAGCAAAGGGAGCATCAGCACACCCAGCCTGGTTCTCACAGAGCCACCCAGAGCAGCAGCAACCAACCAGCAGAGATGAGCTGGGATGCTTCCAGCAGGGAGCTGGCACATCCTCAGCTGATGGAAATCAGTTCTCTTTGATTACTTCCAAAGAACTTTGCTCATTTACATCACATTGGAACCCTGAGTATCCAAACATGCCCTTTTCCTACACCATCAGTGAATACTCCTGATACAAACCATGAAGGGAATTCATGCCAAAAATCACAAACACATCCAAACCCAGGCTGAGAAATCACAGCAGAAACATGCTAAAGCTCCTCATATCCTACCAAAAACAGGCTTGGAGAAGTTCTCCATTGTGGTACATGCAGAAGAAAGTGGAGGGGACACACATTCTTGCATGAACACTAGGATAGAAAGAGCTTTAAAAATATTTCTTATAGGAGATCCAGGAATGGAAAGGGGAAAGGCCTGGCTTTCAACATGCTGAATGATCTATGGATATATCCTGTAGAACTGTCAGATTCTGGAAATCTGAGAGCTGTGGAGGTCACAAGCAACGTGTTTCTGATCCCAGCCACAAGACACCAGGCAGGGGATTTCTCTGACATGCAGAATTATCTCCTCATTAGTGGGAACCCACATCATTTCACACCTCGGTGACTTCCTTGCTTTCATGCTCCACTTGCATTCAATAAGAGAAAGCAAGTCATCGAGCACCATCCAGCAGTTCAGCACAAATATGTACTCAGGATTCATTACATGTCTCCAAATTCACACATTCATCACAAAGAAATACATTTTCAGAGGAGCAAAATCAATTAGAAATGTTTTCAAATAGATGCAGAAATGTTATCTTGTAAATATGCTCTCAGGTCAACTACAGGTGTGAAAACATTGTTTTCACAATGTGAGTTTTCTGCTCACCTCTGGGAAGGAGAGAAACCTGCAAAGTAAAGATTGATTCATATTTATATATAATATAAATATTTGTATTTACATATGACATTGATATTCTTGATTTAGGTAAGAACTGCCCTGAAGTCACCCCAGACATGATCTGAGCAGGCTCTGCCTATGCTTGAAACAGAGTAAAAATTTAACAGAGTAGAAATCCATTTAAATTAGGTAAAATGTGCCATTTTGAACTTGTTAAATATGCTGTTTAGTCTAGCCCTATCAAAACTACCCCAGCTAAGAAAAAGAATGCAAATTTCCACACTAAAAGGTAGAAATAAAAAAGACTCTTCAGACCTTGAAACAGACAGGGCAGAGTAACCCAAGAGTTCTTTCTGCACTTTCTGACAAAAACTGAGTACAAGTATAACTAGCTGTAAGTATAATGTGAAATCAGCAGAATAAATATGCATTAACCTACTGTAAAATTCTATGCATATAGAAATTAATAAAAATAATAAAAAATATCAAAAGTTCTCAAAAGTACGCATGTCCATTAAAGAGCAATGAGTCCCCACATGCGTCCACAGCGCTGTAAATAAACATACCCATTCCCTACAAATCTTTATTAAAATTGTAGAGTTTAATTTTTCATCCCCATTTCATGCTGCAACCTGGAGATAGCCATGTTTCCATCACACCAGCACAGCTACAATGCTCACCCCTGCCATCATCCCCTCTTGCCCAGTAAACCACTGTCAGCACTGGCTGCTCCAGGGCTGCTGAGCCCGTGGAACAAAGCAGGAAGGTTTGGAACCATTCTGCAGCTCCCAGCTGCTTGTGCATCAGCAGGTGCCAAGCAAATCTTTCTTATTCTGGGAACAGGCAAAAATTACAGCATCAGGAGCACTGGCATTTGTTCAGTCTAAAAGTTGTTCATTTAACAGGCACAGAGGTGGCTGGGCTTTGCTGAAGACAAGAGTGGGCAGCCCAGTGGGGAGGAGAGGGCAGCAGTGCATCCTGCAGGGACAGCTCCCCCTGGAAAACTGAACCCTGAACTGGAAACTGAAGATAAAATGTTCAAAAATACAAGAGGCAACATAAAATTAGGGTGGCATTACACTGCTGATGTACTGAGGGTGTGTGAGAGAGCCCTGAGTAAGATCACAAAAATTGGCTCTCATTTTCCCTGACCACCCCACATTTCTTCCACATCCCTGCCTGTTCTAGCACAGCCACATGAGGATTTGGTTGCTCCAATCTAGGTGGAAAATGCAGCAGCAGTTCAAGTATATTATAAAAAACCTGAGGGACCAACCACATGTGTGAGATTTGAATCCAGAAATTTGCTGGATTCACAAGTGGATTTATTTTATTGTGCCGACTTTGGGAGCTACGTGGAGGTTGCCAGGTACATGTTGTTCCATGGATCGTAGAGAATGTAATTCTGAATATTACCTTGGACTTAATGACTCCACAAATGAATTTGTGGGTGAGAAAGAATTGTTTTCCTCTAGCACAGATATTAACACTCATATATCCCACATTCAATTCATGTGTATCACGGGAATATGTGGCTTTGTGTACAAAAAGGAGATGGACAAATTTAAATTATATGAATATATGGAAAATACTCTGATGCCACAGAAATATCAGTGTTCTTTGTTTAGCAGGCAGAATGCTGTAACAGATAATGGAAAATTTGGAAAACAATCAAACTGTAGAATAAAGAGAGTGGTGGAGCTCAAACACTTGATTTAACAATGAGGGGAAGAGATGGGCAGAAAAAAAAGAGAACTCTGGGAGGTTCAGGTGGGTGGGTGACAGCCAGAGAATGATTCACAGGTGGTGAGATGCATGAGCAGAGATTGAAGCTGTGTAAAAGGGACCCTGGATGGATAACAAACATACACTCCTTCCCAGGCTGGAATTCTTCTTACTGTCAGTTTAGGAGTTAGCTCAATATCTCCTGGCAAAATCTCCAGGCTGAGCCTGGCCTGGATATGTCTGTGATGTGGTGTTGGCCTTTTGAGGAATGCCACTGGAATGTTTCTCTGGTGGTTTTACTAAAAAGGATGCTCATGACATTTCCCCAACTCCTTGGGATAGAGCAAGAAGTATTCTGTATTACTTCTTGCTTCTGAATCTGGGATTTTAAATTATTCCTCAAGAGCTGCTCTCAGCCACTTTTCCAATCTCCTGTGGGAGACATGATGACCCAGCAAGGTCTTCTTTTTGACCAAACCACTTCCCCCTCTCTTCATCAGCTGATTAAATAGGGTTTGCAGTGCCTGTGCACCTCATAATTTCATGAAGAAACCACTGCAGCACATCACAAGTCAGAAACACTCTGGAAATGGAGTAGCTATCTCTAAAAACCCTCTTCTTGAACTCAGGAGCCAGGTGCTCTCAGAGGAGGAGCCAGCTGAACAAATGGACAATCTTCCCTGGCAAATTTAGTTTCCCAGTGCTCAGCACTGCACTTTCCCATGGAACTGGCTCACCTCATCATTCTTGCTAATGTTTCTTTGAGTTTGTGTAAAAAAGGGTGGCGCAATCTGAGCCTTGGAGAAGCCAGGAGAGGAAGAGGGGCTGACGCACACACGGACAAGGGCCTTTGGTAAACAGCATAAATCTTGTGAAAAACACTCAGCAGAATGGAAAAGTCACTTCTCCAAGCCATGCTCTGCTGTACAAACTCACTTCCAGAGGCAAGACAGTATCACATCCACCATTCATCAACAGTTGCTGCACAGTCTGGGTCCTTCAGCAGAGGAATTTGGGCTTGGCTCTTGGTTTCTCTAATGCTCACTCATTTATCTCCCCAGGCCTCTCATGCCTGATGTATTGCCATCCATCCTGCTCCAGGCCCCACATTGTGCTCTGCAGGCAGGGTTCCAGAGGCAGAGCAGGAGAGAACAAAGCTGCAGTCTGAGTGCTGGGCTGCTCAGAGCTGGGCTACGTGCTCACCCTACAGATGAGCTGCTCATCTGCCGGGACATGCTCAAGGCAAGGTCTCTCCAAGGAGTAAAATGGCTCATTATCTTTAATTTCTGAGTCAAACCTTCGTGCAATGGGAGGTGGGACCCTGGTGATACCTTCACTAATAACAGAAAGGAGCTTCCTGTGGTAGCCACAGCTTCCAGAGGAGCAGAGTGCTGCTCTCCAGCCAATGCACACACCTTGGTTTTATAGAAGTGCTGGTTTGGAGACTGTCAATCCCAGCTCCCCGGGGTTCTCTGGGCAGGAAGGGCTCTGCTGTGACACTTCCATGTACTCCAGCACAAAACTGCTGTGGGTTCCTGTATTCACACACCACGAGACACTAAAGCTGTGTGGTCTGTCCCCCTTAGGACCACGAATCCCTCATGGAATTCTCCTGCATTCCTGAAGCCTCTGGAGCAAAAAAACTTATTTCAGGGAGCTCCTCTGGGTCAGGACTCAATGCTTGCATTGAGGTTGCATTGCATTAGGGTAACACTACATGGAGCTACAGGAGACAAACAAGCAAACAGAAATGTGAAATATTCAGCCTTTCCTTTTCAGCAAAATTTAGCAAACTTCACCCTATTATCTTTGCCATCCCTTGAGTGCAAGATCAGGGACATCAGTTAAAAAAGACTTTGTCACTTGAGCTGCACTTCATCCCTGTGAAGATACAGAAGCAACAGTGGCTTCCATCCTGTATTGTGGAAGATTTTGTGATGTGTCCTTTGCTCTAGGTTCATGAGTTCTGAATGTTTCAGATTTTCTCCACAAGAGAGGGCAAAACAAGATTGTTTGGCTTTAGCCTGAGGACTTGGGACCTCCCAAGTGCTGGAACGTGGATAAAGAGAAGTGTCTTGAGGGCAGATGGAAAAGCAAACTGAAGAGACCACTTGTCTTGTACCGCCCAGGCTTCCAGAGAATTTCTGCTCCCTGTGCTCTGTGTTTGGATTTGTCCATTCCTACCCAGGAGAAAGGTCACAGAGCCAGGTTATGTCAACTGCTGCTCCCAGGAGCCCACTGCAGAGCCCTCTGTGTTTACTGGTGCTCTGAGTAAAGACATAAAATAAATACAGCAGCCAGATGAAGGTATTTCTAAAGGGGAAAAACGAAAAAAAAAAAAAAAAGGGAAAACGAGAAAAAAGAAGGCACCTTGTGAAGCTTTGGAAGCTGGTGCTGGAAAGACAACCAGGCTGTGAGATTCCACAGCACATTGTTTCTGCCTCTTCACCAGCTCTGCAGACTTCCTTGAAACCTCTCAGTCTTCCAACAGAGAGAGTTGGAAAATTGAAGCTTGCTCACACCTGCCACACAAACCTACAGATTCCTTTTTTTCTGTATGTGCCTCAGGGCTTCCCAGTTTTTCTCTGCACTGGACACAGGCCTGACTTAGGCCTCAAACAACTTGTTATGGACTGATGGTTTCCAGACTCTGATGGATTGCTAACCTCACAGATGGTCTTTGGGGAGAAAAGGATAAACACTTTTGTGTCTGCTAAGGACAATAACTGTAGTCCAGCTGATTGTGATTTCACCATCTCTGCTTGCTTAGAGCAGTTAAGGCTTTGCCTTACAGGATTTAGGCTGAGAAACCTAAAGATTCAGGATTTATTTGTGTTTTATACTGAGATATAATTCCCTATGCAACAAACCTTGGCTCAGAATGTTTCACAAAGGATAAAACCTTGTTCAAGAAGTCATCTGATACTGGTCAGAGGGAGTGGTGTGCACAAATGGAGATGGCAGAAACAAACAAATATAAGTCACAGTACCCAGTGGAAATGGTGGCTTGGACCAGATTGGGAAAGGAACATTTTTGGATGAGAAAACTGAAATTAGGCAACGTAAGAGCCTCATTGGCCCTGCTGAGGGATGATGGCCTGCTGTGAAGAGAATAAATTAGGCAGGAACAAAGAAAGTTAAACACATTCTGGTTGCTCTTCCTCTTAGGTTTTTGGCTGCAGAAAGCAAAACATGTTAAAAGACATGATGTACAAAAATACCCAGCCTCACCTAAAGCAAAGAACGAGTTCTACATCCATGCAGGACCCGTGGATGAGCTCTTTGTGAGGCCCCTCAAAGAATGAGCAAGAAATCATTGGGAGCATGAGGTGAGCACAGCAGGGAGGGACATACAGAGCTATCCTTCACTCTCTGACACTGGCAGAGCTGTCTGCTCTGCAGGAGGTTCCTCAGATATGCATTAGGAAATCAGGTGAAGTTATCCCTGGGCTAATCCTTGCCCAGTGACCACCAAAAGCTGTCACTCACCCGTGGAGCCCTTGACAGTGGTGGGTTTGCTTTTGTGCCGTCCCTTCTCTGCCAGCAGGCTGATGGTGTACTCGGTGCCTGGCTCCAGCCCCCGCAGCAGGAAGGAGGTGCTGTCCACAGGGATCTCCACCTCGCTCTTCTTCCCGGAGGGACTGGTGGAAACCAGGCGGTAGTGGTCAAACTTGGCCACCGGCCTTCTCCAGCGCAGGGACAAGGTGGTCTCAGTGGGCTCGCTGACTTCCAAGTCCTTGGGGTTATCAAGATCTACAGGGTGAAAAACAAGCAAAGTTGAGATGTTTCTGATTGGCTCTGAGAGAGTTTTTCAGGCATCTGTAGATGGGAGTCTGGCAGCAGCTCAAGGTCTGCCCACCTTTGGGACCTTTTGTCCTAGGTTATAATATTGGGGTGTATTCAATTTCCACCTCGAGCTGCAATCCCTTTTTTTTTCCTTATCTCGTGACTCAGAGATAAGACCCTCCAGGAGGAGCTGTTCTTTTAGGCACATGGCTGATAAGGTCACAGCGTTCTATTGTGAGATGCTCCGCCCAGAGGGAGGAGCCAAACAATGCCATCAAGGATATAAATGGGGTTGTGCAGACAGCAAGGAGATCCCCTCTTCCAAGGGGAACAGCTGAGATCTCTGCACTGGCCCTCCAGAGGGAAACTCCATCAGTCTGCAAGAGAACTGCTTGGACAGAACCACATCTGCTACCACCGCCCCAGCCAGGGAGTGTCAGGGTGTATCCCTAACTCTGTCAGTGGTTCTTCTTCTGTGCTATTGTATGTATTTGGTTCTTTGTTCCCTTTTCCTAATAAATTGTACTTCTGACTTAGAGCCTCTCACTGGTTTTGCTTTTCAAACCAGGACACCTTTTGAAATTGGTTGGGGATGATGATGTTCTCCTTTACAGACAAAACTAAAACAAATTTTCCCCATTACACTTAAGAGGCAGAAATAAAGCCTTCAGACAATTCAGCTGGGAAAAGGGTGAAAAATTTTGCATTGGAAGGTGAGTCAGGAGTACTGCAACCTCTCTTTGTCATATCAACATTTTGGCCACCACCATTCCTGCCAGAAACCCTCACAGATAGAGGAGGATGGCCAGAGAGATCAGTGCAAGCATTAATATTATTAGGGAGCTGACCTGGAGATGAAACTCCCAGAACATTAAGAGGAACAGGAAAAAGAAGTCAGATTCAGAGGTTATGACCTTTCTGGGAATTGTTTTTCTCTTCCTTGAGGGGTAACGTAGCAGAATGAAAGGAAGAAATGAAGGAGTGGCTCCACCTGAGTTGCCTCCTGCAGAGCTCAGATGGGATCAGGACACTCACCAGTGCCAGCATTGATGGTAGCAGGAGCACTTTCCCTGTCGTTCCTCACTGCTGTCACTCCAATGCCATATTCAGTTCCAGGCCTCAAACCTACGAGATGAGGAGAAGAAATGTGAGTTCCTGTCCATGGAATATGCCTGCATGCATTTGTTGGAATAAGCAAGGCTGAATGGATGCAAAGTAAGAGATCTGCTTTCCTCTCTGCAGAGAACTGAGGTTTCTGTTGACTCTCCAGCTGACAAGCTGCAGACTGGAACCAGTGAATCCCACCCCTAGCACATGAAAATGCCTTTTGAGCTCAGGATGTGAAGCCGCTTCCACAAAATTGCTTAGAATTAGGGGAACTGATTCGTTGGATTCAGGGATGTATGTGGAAGTGAAATGGTTACATATCTTCTGCTGGCTGGAAATCCATTTCACTTGGCTTTCAATTAAATTTGGTCTACTCAAATTAAAAAATCACAGAATTGTTTGGGCTGGAAGGGACATTAAAGATCATCTTGTTTGTCCCCCTGCCATGGCAGGGACACCTTCCACTGTCCCTGACTGCTCCAAGCTCTGTTCAACCTGGCCTTGGACACTTCCAGGGATCCAGGAGCAGCCACAGCTTCTCTGGGCATTCTGTGCCAGGGCCTCCCCACCCTCCCATGGAACAATTCCTTCCTAATATCTCATCTAATTTCAAATTTGTAACTTCCTGTCCCAAAAAAATGTGCTTGAGATAACTCAAAATTTTTTTCACCTCTAATGTATAGTGCCCACAAGCACATTTTTTCTCCATGTCCTGTGCCCTGGGGTGACAAAAACAATGTGACATTAGTGACAGTCTCTCCATTCGCCTACCTGTGAGTGTAGCTCTGGTTGTGGCCTGGTTGCCCTTGGGCACTGTGATCTCCATGTGGTCCCCACCAGAGATGGGGGCAAACTTAATTCGGTAATTATCGACATTGGCGTGGCTGTTCTTCCACTCCAGCGTGATGCTGCTGTCAGTCTGGGACACCCGCTTCAGGTTCCTTGGAGCATCCAGGTCTGGAATCAACCAAGCAATAAATAAATAATTAGGAATATTTCTCTTCTGACAACAGTCTCTTGTGACAGGGCTTTTTAGAAGGTGAAATGACCCATAAAGCTTCCTCTCACATGATCCTGTTATGGCTTAACTACAAAAAGCAGAGGTTTTCTAGCATGAAAAGCAGAGTTCACCAGCTTCAGTTCAAGAAATTTAACTTCTATCTCCTGTGACAAAAATAACATTTTCACTTGCAATAATTAGTTTTTATTACAAAACAGGTTTGGGGAGAAACGTATTTGGATGAAAATACTGCTTTCCTTTGCAATTATCTCAGCTTTCAAAAGGAAAAAAGAACAATGAACTGATCATCTCTAGAATTTGTGTTCAGTAACATCTTGCATTCATGCCTGGAAGGAACTCTAAGTCTCAAAAAAAGGTGAATATTATAGAGAAATTCAATGAGCTTTCATTTTTCACACCTACAGTAGCCTCAAATCCTGCTCCAAAATAACAACTGTATTTTAGGATGAAAAGGGATGTAATTCGCAGCTCTCTGAATGCATCAAGCCTTGATAACCCGCTAAAGGACCCACACTTTCCAAAAACATTCCCAGAATCACTGAGGAGCACAGTAAATTTATAAAAGAATGGCAGGAAATATTTGCAGAACTGAAGAAGAAGAAAAAAAAAAAAAACCAGTTCTCCGTTTCTAAACTAATTAGGCAAAGAGAAATAAGATGGAATAGGAACTACAGAAGATATTTAGCTCATCAGACAGACATGCTAAAAGACACAATAACCTAATTCCCATTTTTAAAATACATTTAGATTCTTGGGGGGGAGTTGTGTCTAAATATTTTGGTGAGCCACCATGGCATAAAAGGCACAGGAAATTATTCTCTATTTCCATGTACCTCTAAAACTGGGCTGATTTTGTGTTGATCAGCAACTATGATTCTTGGTTTTTGCAGGGTATTAGGGTGTTGGTTTCTATCGTTGTTAATTTTTTTTGGGTTGGGGTTTTTTGTTTCTTTGTTTGGGGTGTTTTGAGTATGTGCTCCATGTAAGGATTTTGAGCAGTTAGTCAGGTAATCCATTTTAAAATTGATAAAACCTAACTTATAAATAATAAACCTTACTTCTACATCTGTGGACAATGCCACAGATTTTTACATATCAGAGTAGTTGTTGATCAGCAACTACTGATTTTGTGTTGATCAGCAACTCCAGAAACAAGACATAAACGGCACAGGAGGATGGGTGGTCCCTGTGGCACCTGGCCAGCCCCTCACCTGTGACAAAGATTTCCTTCACAGGGTCGCTTTCCATGTCCCCTCGACGAGAGACGAGCGTCACCTCGTACTCTGTGTGTGGCCTCAGGTTGCCAATGGAATATTGGTTCTCATCTTCAGAGAGGTCAATGGTTGTCCTGTCCCCTGGAATGTCCTTGGGGCCATACGTGAGCTCCACACCTTCAACTTCAGCCAAGGGTTTGGACCACGTGATGAGAGCCGTGGTGTCGGTGACATCTTTGGCCTCCACCTGGCTGGGGGCATCAAGCTCTGTCACCAAGCAAAAAGAGAGGGGAAAATGGGCTTTAAAAAAAAATCTTGCCATGAAAAGCACTCATATTTTTATGCTTTTAATTGGTCATTCAGGACAAAGTTAAAATTAGTATCCTCATTTACACTCTTCCTTTAGTTCCTATAGTTTTAGACTCCAAATGGATTCAATTCATCATAAGCAAATCCAACAAAACTCCTTCAAACCAGGAGATGCCCAAAGAAAGATAAGCAGGAACACTGAGAGCTTCCCCACCTTCACACACTCTTCATGCAAATATGACCAGGATGAAACAAATTCTAGCAAGAAATTCTAGTTTATGCTGATGTACATCTTGAAAAAGGAATAAAAGTGCCTGCTACCTTCTAGCTGGACATAAATTTCCCTTCTGCTTCAAACAGGGAATTGTTTTTTCCTCATGTATTCATTAGCAACTCCACTATTTCCTTTTCTCCCCCTATTAACTCACAGTGTAGAGCTTTAATTTCTCTTTGTTTACAAACCCCTAAACAGCAGAAGTTTTGTTGGTGGCCAGCTAAAACCAGACCAAACACAGGTTGTGCTTACTTGTGGTGATGACTTTGGACAGTCCTGGTCCTCTGGTGTTGTTCTTCACTATATGGATGGACACATTGTACTGCTGCCCAGGTGCCAAACCTGGCTGCATGTAGGATGTCTCTGGCCTTTTCAAGCTGCTGGTTATGTCACCATTATCATCCTTTTTCTGGAACATATTGGACAATTGGTGAGTTCAAACATATAAATACAGGATTTTTCACTCTGTACGTGAAACTGCTTCCTCACCATGTTATGGAAGACCAGCTCCCAGCCATCAAAAGAGAAGTTCAGAGGGTCCCACTCCACCTGGACAGATGTTTCCCGAACAGATTTGAATCTCAGACCTTCTGGAGCAGGCAGATCTGTGGCAGAAGAAAGGGATATTCTCACATGAGCAGCAAATTCCCATAAATAAGTCACTGGGGTAGGACATCTTTCCACTTCTAGAAATGTCTGCCAAGTGGGGATCTGCAGATGAAGCGTTAAACTCTCCTCATATCCAGTTATTGTGACTTTGGGGAGACTTTCCTGAGTTGGTCAAATGTCACCTTAGAATAAAAAAGAATTTTACCCTTGAAATCTCTTTTTTATGCCCTCTTGAACGAAGCCTGGTGTTGACTTTGGAAGTCAGGAAAGCTGAATCCTGCCCCAGCTCTCCAGAAATGAGCTTGGTGACAGAAATCAAAGAGCACCTTTTGCTATTGGGATGTTTAGAGATGACAGTGATGTGCACAAAACAAAAAGAAAATGAACAACAGAAGTATAGACAGGCAGATAAAAGGTTAGATACAGTAAATCACAGTAAAGATGCAAAAAAATATAACGTCTACTTTAACCAAAACAGTTTGAATTCAAGTGATTTCTTGTACATCTGCTACATTTAAAATTTTTTTCTCAGGAAGAATTACCAGATTTTTTATAATGAACATTATAATGAAGAAATGTACATTATAATAAAGAAATGTGCATTTTAATAAAGAAGCCAAGATTTTCAATTCACAAAGACCCTTAAGAGACATTGAGAGCAGAAGAGCTTGTGAACTGTGCTTCTAAGAAAGTCCCTGGTATTGGAAAAAACTAGAAAATGGAAGTGCAGAAGGCTGTTTTTTCTAGGCCAACATTTGAATTGGAAGTAGAAAATACAAAAGAAATGAGATCTTAAAACTGGAATGTAAATCAATACATCTGAACTGAAAATAAAAAATGCAGAATAAATACCCCCAAGAAAGGGATGCAAGTCAACACATACAAAGTGGAAACAGAAAATACAAAGTAAGCAGCATCCCTAAAAGAGAGATGCAAATGGAGTAGACAAAAGGATGAATACAGGGAATACTAAACTCACATGTGGCTACCCTGGCACTGACTGGAATACTCTTCTTGTTTTTCAGGATTGCAAAGACACGGATAAAGTACTCCACCCCCGGCTCCAGCTCGTGGATGGTGGCAGCTGTGTGGTTTCCTGGCACGGTGAACTGCATGTCCAAGCCCCCACTGCTGGTGGGGACGTAGGTGATGAGGTACTCGTTGACCAGGTTCTCGTGCTTCCACTCCAGATTGACAGTTTTATCTGTCACGTTGGTCACAGTCAGCTCAGTTGGAGGAGACACTGGGAATGGAGGGGAAAAAAAAGCCAAACCAAAATTATAAGAATTTCTCAAGGCTCAGGAAATAATGACTTGCCCAGTTTCACATTTTCCCAGGAGCGGTTCCTAAGGCTCATCTCACACGCAGGGAATGGAGAAGGTATGTCCCACAAATTAGCTGCTGAGAAAAGGAATGCTCAGCTGATGGAGACTACAGACATTTCCAGAAGCCATGGGCCAATTTCTGCTCTCACACTTGCACACAACCTCTGGCTGACTGTGTTCCAGCTGCTTCTCTCATGGCTGCAGCACAAGACTGCTGTAGCTGGATCCCAAAGGACTGAGATGTTTAATTCAACTGCCAGCAGCATGTGATTGTAGAGCTAGAAGTCCTGGGATTTGCACAGATTTTCCAAAGTAAAATAAAACACTATTATTTGAGTAAATACTTGCAATAGATGTGCCTGTGCAAGATCATAAAGTGGAATTTAGGCACCTTCCAGAAGGAGGAGATGAACAATGGGAATTTCTTTTAGAGGGTATTCATTGTCATTTATAGTGTTTCCGATCCCAAAGTACTCTTTGATTACCAAAATTTAGTTTCACAATTTCTCCCCCAGGATCTACTAAAGAAAACTACCTCATTTATGGTGTATTGCCTGTCATTATCAGGCTGCCAAAATTTTCTATCAATTTCCATAGAGTCAGTGGTCCTGGGAAACCAAGCATGTGACTTTATAGCTAAGTTTCCACTCTAGCTGATCCTATGATTTTCCTTTAAACTTCTGTGAGATCTAATACACACACATCCCTATATATATACACACATACATATATGCATATATATACATATATAAATACACACACACACACACACATGTGGAGAAGACTCTGGAACATTTCCCTTTTCTCCTTAGCTAGAACAGATTCTTTCAGCTTATTTTTCTAGCATCAAGAGGTACTGTGAGAAACTGAAGGGTCATGGTGACAAATCCCAGCCAGTGCTGGCTACAGCACCAGTGACATTGTGGTGGGAGCAGAAATGGAGGTGACAAAGGCACTGCAACACCATCAGCTACCTGTTGTACTGGTGACCACCAAAAGCCACCAGAAACTGCTACACTACTTAGCCCTGATATTTCAGGATGCCATGAGCTACTGGTGTTGTTGCATCTCTGATCCTGCTGTTTGGACTATGTTGGAAAAGCAGCAACGGGGCCCAGCTCTATGGAAAATCTTTGTGGAATGTCCAAGGCTGTTGACTGGCCCAAGGAGAAGTGGTTCAGAGGGCCACTGCACCTACCATCGGAGCAGTCATCCCCGATGTAGCCATCCTCGCAGACACAGCGCCCGTCCACGCAGCGCCCCGCGTTGTTGCAGTCGTTGGGGCAGGAGCGTTCCCGGCAGTCCTCGCCCACGAAGCCCTCGTGGCACACGCAGCGCCCGTTCTCGCAGCGCCCACGCCCGTGGCAGTTGTTGGGGCAGGCCAGCTCGCCGCAGTCATCGCCCATGAAGCCGTTGTCACATTCGCAGTGCCCCTCCACGCAGCGCCCGCGGTTGTGGCAGTCATTGGGGCAGCGCAGCTCGGCGCAGTCCTCACCTGTGTACCCCTCATCGCACACGCACTGCCCATTGACACACAGCCCGCGGTTGTGGCAGTCGCTGGGACACCGCAGCTGGCCGCAGTCATCCCCGGTGAAGCCCTCATGGCACACGCACTGCCCGTTCTCGCAGCGCCCGCGGTTGTGGCAGTCGTTGGGGCAGCGCAGCTCCCCGCAGTCCTCCCCGATGAACCCCTCGTGGCACACACACTGCCCGTTCTCGCAGTGCCCACGGTTGTTGCAGTCGTTGGGGCACCGCAGCTCGGCACAGTCCTCACCCAGGTACCCCTCATGGCACACGCAGCGCCCGCCCACACAGCGCCCGCGGTTGTGGCAGTCGTTGGGGCACCTCCTCTCGCTGCAGTCGTCGCCCACGAAGCCCTCGTAGCACACGCACAGCCCGTTCTCGCAGCGCCCGTTGCCGTGGCAGTCGTTGGGGCAGGTGAGCTCCCCGCAGTCCTCGCCGGTGAAGCCCTCCTCGCAGAAGCAGGTGCCGTTCACGCAGCGCCCGCGGTCGAAGCAGTCGTTGGGGCAGATGAGCTCGCTGCAGTCCTCACCGGTGTAGCCCTCATCGCACACGCACTCGCTGTCCACGCAGCGCCCGCGGCCGTGGCAGTTGTGGGGGCACAGGGGCACGCTGCAGTCGTCACCCACAAAGCCCTCGTGGCACAGGCATTGCCCTCCCACGCAGCGCCCGTGGGCGCCGCAGCCCTGGGCGCAGAGCTCCTGGCTGCAGTCCGGGCCCGTGTAGCCCTCGAAGCACACGCACAGCCCGTCCACGCACTTGCCTTGGTCGTTGCAGTCGGAGGGACACGAGGCCTGGCTGCAGTTGGGGCCCTTCCAGCCGGGCTCGCAGATGCAGCCGCAGATCTCGATGCTGTAGTTGCCGTGCCCGCTGCAATAGGGTGTGGTGTCCAGGCGACCTGTACCAACAATCCCAAAATTCATTACCCTCAATGCCACTAGGATCCCTTAGGCCAGCGTGGCACATACGACCCAAAAGGGCTCTGATTTTCCTAGTTGCCTACAGGACATTGTTTTTCTAAAGTTTTTAAATGAGAATCTCTCTTTCTTTCTCCAGCTAGATTTACTTTACCAGGAAAGCTTTAATTCACTGTAATGACAGGGAAGATCCCCTGCCAACGACTTGGTAATTGAGCATTCCTCCTCCCTTCTCAAAGTCCTCTCCCACTGACTGAGCAGCTTTCCTGACTGCTTCATTAGGGCATGCACGATGGAACATCATTCATCTATTCACCCCAAAACACAAAAAGTCAGGCAGGACATTGTGTCATGAGCTGTGTCAGCAACTAGGAGGCTGATCTGAGCTCAGAGGGACACATTGCTCCAAAGAAGACTTGTATTTCTTCTCTTATATGACCAACCCTGTCTCTCAATTTAAAAAATCAACCAGACAGACACAATTTTTCCCTCTTCTATAACTATTTATTCTTGTCTATTGCCTTGTGTCCTGCTGCATTTTTATTGGTCTCTACTAAAGAAAACTTGGAAGCGAAAATGGTTACATTGGCAGCTTCCTCAAGGGGACAGAAAGTGGAGCCAAGAGCTCGGACTGTGAGTTTTAATCTTAACTTCGACACAGATTTACCATGTCCAAGTGCTGTCCATGCTCAATGCCACAGCTACAAAGGGTCTCAGGTCAACTCCTGACCCACAGATCCATGAAGCCGTGGAACTGTGAATGAATGTACCTTGCACGCTGGCCAAACACATTCCCAGTTTTGATTACATTTCAAATGTGAGAGGTTGACTTGTGCTCATTCTTGAAAGAGATTGGAGTATCACTCTAAACCACATCTACAGCCAGCACAAGAATTTCCCCCAGGAGCAGCTCCCCAACCTGCCTTACCTTCTGCTGCCTGGGAATTAGGACAGCATCCAGCCCCGCTGGCACACTGCTCCCGCAGGGAGGAGACCAGCCCCTCCAGCTCCTCTAGTCTGCTCAGCAGATCCTTAATGTCTGGGGCAGCTGCACAGCCACAAGCCCGGCGGGGAATGTTAATCCTGTGAGTGAAGACAATCTGGTTCCCCTCATTCACCGTGTGCTCCTCGTAGTTCTTGACAGGCTCAATTTCCGCCTTCAGGTCAGCGTCGCCGCTCGCCGTGTCCAGGTCCACGGAGCAGAGGGAGCCAACGGGCAGCTTGATGTTGTAGACATGGTTGAAAACCACAGGCTGGTTATCCTCTGGCAAGGTCACATTCAGCCCAGTCTCCCTCTTCTGCCGGATAATTCTTTTGATGAGTCCCCCAGTGACGTGCTGGGACAGCAAAGTGAGGATGACACAGGCCAAGACCCAGCTGGGGAGTCCCATTGTGGTGCCCAGTTCCCTTTTGAGCCTGAAAGAGTCTTAGGTTTCCTTGGCCTTTGTAATCTGCAGCAAAAATTGGAGAGCTAAGCCAAACCAAACTGGAGATCCTTTTCTTTCCTGGTGCGTTTTTTCCCTAAAAGAAGAAGGAGCAGTGTAAGGGATTAACAGGAGCTACACAACCCAGCAAAGTTGTGACACTGCTCGTGTGCTGTATCCACAGAGAACAGAACCATTACAATTCACCCAAGCTGCTGAACTTGCTCTGTTGTATAATAACAGTGGTTTTCCTGGATCCCAGTGTGATTCTGAAGGAAATGTCACCTGACATGAAGAAAACTGCCGTTATTTCCAGTTCAGAGCAAATACAGTGGATTGTAGAAAGTTTAACTCTCTCAAGCAGAAGACTGGGGAAGAGATGACTCCTGAGTCAGAGGTAAAAAAAATAAATATGTGTTCTGCTATTTTTTAACCAATGTTAAATTCTGTATTTCCTTCACCCCTCCACTGCTTGAAGGCTGCTCAGTGTTGGACTATGCAAGAAACTCAAGACATTGTCAAAAGGTGCATCAGCACCCCCAGGCTCATTCTATCCCTTCTCTATATGTTTTAAATTACTCCAAGATTGCTGTGGAATCTGAACTCCAGGGCTTGTAGCTCCATAGTAAGTTCCACTGTATGATGATTTCTCAAGAGCATGAAGATAAATGAAACTCTGCAGGTGGAAGATTCTGGTGTCAGTGCTTGTATCGCAGGGATATTTTAGTATAAAAGTAGTGAGACACAAGAGAAGCAGAGACTCTAACAGCAGAGATAGCAATAAAACTACATGTGTAAAAATGCCTTTTTAGCAGCTGATATCCCTTTCCATCAGGCAGCATTTCCCACTGTCTGATCTTTCCTCAGCTATAGCACAATAACTCGTGTACAGTTACAAGCACCTGGCTGGGCTCTACAGCTCCTCCTGAAACTCATTCCTTTCAATTAGCTCCACTATTTCCTCTTCCTCCTCAGTCTGTGCATGTTCCTTTTCAATGGAGTGAGCCAAGGGAGTGCAAAGACATCCATTGACTTCCATGCAGGACCAGCCCCTCAGCACGTAGAGTGAGGAGCCAAAGCAGTAATGGACTGCCTGAGCAAGCACACCTAATAAATGTCATCTCAGCATTTGTTTTCCTTCCCACTCCCAGAAGAGCTTGGTTTAATGGTTAGATCAGTGACTGTGCTTTCAGTGGTTGCAAGCTATGAAATGCCAGTAATGGAGGAAACAGCAATTTATTCTCTAAACATCATAGTTTTGATGCTAATTTATTTGTCAGATGAGAGACCGGCCTCTTCCACCCTTCTGAATCCCCCAAAGTGGAAGGATGGTTTTTCCCATGCTATCCCAGCTGCTTTTGTGAGGGAATGACAATAACACATCAGACACTTCACTGAAGTTTAGTGGGTTTTTTTAGGGAATGTAGAGCTCACAAAGGGCAAACTTCACCCCTTTTTACTGGGGAATAAATCAGAAGTAAACAAGTAGCAGGGAAGGCTTTTTCCTTATTAAGGAAAACCATTCAGCTTTAAGGCATTTCTAACACTTACCCCATTTGTTAAAATATTTCTGCAAACCTTGCCTGCACCAGAAGAGATCACAAGGTTGTTAAAAAAGAATAGCAGAGACAGATACGATCCAGGTCTCATTTCTGACTCAATCCCTGAACTGGGTTGCCAGTTCATGAAATGTGTTCAGGACTGTATTTGAAGTAGGATTTTAGTCTCGAGCACTCCCACTTAGGCTTTGCAAAGTGTTTCCCATGCAATTCCATGTGCACTTTTTGCCCCAGGAAAAGGTCATACAACTAAAACTGGTGCCTAACCCTTGAGCAGTCATTGAAGGGACAGGCTGCTTGGCAGATGGATCACCAGTGGAAAACAGAACAAACTGGAGGCAGCTCTGCATCTCATTCTCGCTGAATTTTAGTGAAAGTTGAGCATCCATTTCCTTATGGCTTCTGTAAATCCCAACCCACAGGAAAACTGGCCTTGCCCAAACCAAGGAAGTTGCACTTTTTTCTGCTGACCAATGTGAGTTGACAAATCACTTAATCATGGTATAAACTGTGATTTCTTTAATATGCCTAGAAAATGACAAACCCGCTGTGGCAAGAGCCACTGTCACTGTCACCTTCACTACTGATGAAAGCCACATGGACACCAGGACTCTGAGAGGACACTTGCTGCATTAGAGGCAGCCAAACCTCTCAGCTCATAGATGATCCTGGAAGAATTAACACGTCTTCGCTGACATCCTTTTGAAGTTTCTGGAGAAACACTGTGGTGGTCTAGGAGCAGCATTCCATGCCTGCTCTGTGACCCCTGTGCTTTGACAGTTTGTGTGATGTCTGAGCTAATTCATCCCCATCTGCCAAGGGCCCAGCATGGTTAGCTGAGCCTCACTCCTGGATCTGACATCTACAAAACAAGACACCTTCCTCCAGTTCTTTATACATTAGCCATGTTCTTGGCTGGGAAAACAAAGAGGACATCCTTCTCTCCAACCCCAGCTCCTCCAACACATCCAAACAACAGCTCTGACCACAATCGACCACCCAGGAGTAGGAGAGAAATGAAGCCACATTAACTACCAGGCTCTGTTGTCCCTTCATTTTCCCTCCTCTTCCCTTCAGAGCAGCTTGTGTAGGTTGTATTTTAAACCTTCCTCTTGGAAAAATCCTCTTCATATTTTCTTTGCAGACATTAGCTGCTGGATTGTTTAGGGGCACCTAAAAGTCTTGCAGCAAAAGTTGACAAAAAATGACCCTTCCCAGCATGAGTTTGGCCTTGTGGTCTATAAGAGGAGCTGGTGATGTCTGACGTCTCTCAGGAACTTTGAGAGGTCTATATGACCCAGAGTGAATTTATTTTTACAAATATTTTGTCTAATAGGGACCCTCTCTCATCCTAATGAGCTATGCCCTCAGGTCTTCCTGTCACCCTGACTACAAAATTCCTGGACACGATGATGTGGATGATCTGCAAAATGTTCTGCTTGTCATGCAGGACAATAAATCTAGAGCTTGTGTTCTCCCCATCTGGTCACTGGCACCTTCCCACCCTCCTGGGGCAAAAATTATCTCCTGCTTCCCGAGGAACAACCTCAATATAAATAAAAAGAAAATGTGTTGTGGCCTCTCACACATCTTAAATATCTGATTAAAAAATAGAGATTATTAATTGAGAAGCAAATCACAGCATCTCTGCAGTACCTGCTGAGGCAAAGGGAGATTCAGGTAAGAAAATAATTTTCTTATAACTTTAAAAGTTAGATTTTAACCAAAGAGCAGAAAAGGGCTATTTCTAGAAAACACTTCTTAAAAACCTGATCACTGCCTGGTGATACACTTAATAATATGTGGTGGAGGTAAGGTAGACTGTCAATAGCACAAAGGGAAAGAATAATTTTCATTTCCACTGCAGCCCTTTCATCTGAAGATCTGAAAGCACATCACAGTCTGGCTGTCAAAAGATGAAAAAATGTTATTAAAAAGGGTTATTTCTCTGTTTAGACATCCCCCCCTTCCCCTCTCCCCCTCATGGCATCAGAACTTTTTCAGGACCTTTCCATTTAAATAGAAATTTGCTTCTTAATAGGAAATTTTCAATCAATCTTGAAAAAACCCCCAGGAATCCTGACTCCTGGAGAATACTAAGCAAAGGTAATGCATGAATATTTCCCTTCCCCAAAGCCATATTTGCTGGAAAGCAGCAGGTGTGAGAAACTAAATTAATGTCTGCATGCTTTAAAGTCCTGGTGTAGCACTCTAGTCTCTCCTGAACGTTCAGGAGTGGCAGAATTGTGAGATGATTTGTGGGTATGTGGAATGATAAATATGCAGATGAGAGCCCTGTGCAATTTTAATCAAAACAGATTGCAGCAAGGAAGGGATGGAGGTGTTAAAAACTATCTCAGCTGTCCTTCCTAACGAAAGCAGAAGGCTGATTAGATTTGCTCAGACACCCTCTACATGTCATGACTTGGAAATTAGACATGTAAATGGCAGGGAAAAAAGAAAGGGGGAAAAAAAAGGAAACAATTCATGTCTAAAAGATACTTCCTACATTTCAGCAGGAGGGGATCAAATATTGTCAGCACCATATTGGATTCAAGAACATCTTGTTAAAAGCTGGGTAAAATTGCAGACAGGGAGGAAGACTCAGCTGGAGAAGAGCCAAAGCCCTCTCCAGGGAACACAACAAGGAGCATTTTGAGGTTTGTAAATTGCTAACCCCAAAACAGTTTGCTGTGATCTGTTAACTGCAAGAAGTTCATGTTTCCAGAGTTTCCACCAAGGCGTGATCCGTGTGTTCCCTGCAGCCTGGAGTGCCCAGCAGGGCACTGTGGAGGCACTGACACCACATTATCACTGCCCCCTCTCCTCAGCTACCGCCAAAAAGACAGCAAAGGGTTATGTTATGTGTAGTAGGTATAATTCACACCATCTCTAGTATGATATATGTGCTATTGAATATTTGTTGGAGTATACATGTTTGTATGAGGAGTCCCCCCACCCTCGCAGGTGAAACCTGGTGTATGTTGAAACCCGATTTACAGGTAAAAGGATGTGGCTGGGCCAGGAGATGGGGATGGGCCATGGCTGGAGAGATACAGGGGGACCCCAGGCACTGATCATCGTGTGAGTGACCCGGGATGGATCTCATGGAAATCCTCGGGCAGATCCATGGGAATGTTCCCATAAATTTCATCAAGGGATTCAACAACTCCGGACACTGAATTGTTCTTCCTCATCACCAAAAAAGAAAATCTCATCAACCTATGGACTCTGAATGGAAGAAAAGTCTGATTGCTGAAATCTTGGCCTCAGGCAGAATTTTCCCTATAAAAACCGCTTGTGCCAGGATGGAGGTGTGTGGGCACAGAGGAAAACCTCTGCTGAGGCTGACTCCTTGTTGCACACCCAGGGCCGACCCTGGGCTCGGCTCTGTTCTTTCCTTGTGGCTGGCTAGATAGAATTTGATTGCAAATAAATATTTTTTTTTTCCATATTAAATTTGGCTGGACAAATTTTCATTTATAACAGTTATCTCCTGGGGATATTGATCTGACCTGGACCATTCACTGCCTGCAGA